TATTTTTTACTTTTAATAATTTTCAATAATCTTTTCTATTTTAAAAATTTAATTTAAATAACTTTCAATAATTGTTGGGAAATGTTCTATATTAGAATAAGACTTGAGTGTGAAAAACATGATAAGAAAATTAACATTTGAAATTGACTTATAGAAATTAAATATTCACGATAGTTTGAAGAGTAGGTTTTTTTCTTTTTTATTTTACCTATGTTAAATAAAATTACTAGGAAAAAAATTGATAAGAGAATAAAAATATTTTTTTCTAAAATAATATGTTTTAATATGGAATAATTTCTTAACTAATATTAATGTTCGTAAATTATTGATGATAAAAATATACCACATGTAAAATAAATATTGAAATACGAATAAATATATTAAATTTTTTAACCAATATAAAACTAAGTAAACTTTATAATTTAGTAATATCAAGTGCTATATAAGAGTACTCGGAATTGTATTTTTTTTAATTGAGAAGTAGCATCATCACACTCATTTAACATTTTTCGTGTTCTTTTACAAAGTTAAAAATTCATAAATTTTATAAAAATATATTGATAACAATTTTTAAAAATAATTTTTTCTTTTTAAAATCGTGAGCAAGAAAAAATTTATAATAAAATATAGAAAAATTTTAAAATCCTTAAAAATATATGACACAAAAAGCTATTTGTGATTAAAGACTTTAGAAAAAAAAACTTTGCAATCATGTTGCAACTCTAAGGATTTTTTTTTAATACTATCATGTATTAAAAATCACAAACCTTAAAGGAAGATAAGGTAAACGCTTAAAAAAAGCTGTGCAATTTTAGTTGGAATTTATTTTTCAAGACGTTCAGTAATAAAATTGACAAACAAAGTCAAAAAATGGATTTTGATCGTAATAAATTGATTCTTACAATTTTCATCGCAATATTTATTCCAAATGTACAATCCTCTACAGAAACTGAATTAAAATGCGAGCCACTGGAAATAAGAAATGCACAATTTGTTACACTGGAAAATTATAACAAAGGGCTCGTACTTTGCAATGATTTTCATGTACTACAAGGAGATTCTACTCTAACTTGCATTAATGGTAAATGGAGTGGTGAACGACCCATATGTATTCGTAAGTATTTCACGATTTTTATATATACTGTATATATTTTAATAAACGTTAATTCTATTATCAAGAAATAATTTTAATATGAAAATTACACAGCTTATACGTGTTTGAAATCATCTGAAACGTATTACTACATCGATAATGGAATGGCAAAAGATAGAAAAATTGGTAACGATGGAGAAGTTTTTATTGAATATAGATGCAATAAAAATTATACATTGATAGGAAAAAATTGGGCAGTATGTATAGATGGAGAATGGTCAAATCTACCACCTCAATGTAAATTATCGAAAAATCTTAAATGTCCAGAAATTGGTTTTGAATATGGACAAATTGAACTAAATGACGAAGGTGACATTGCGACATTAACCTGCGATTTAAATTATTTCCTTACTGGAAATTCAACAATAATATGTAGAAATGGAATATGGAAAACAAAAGATCATCCCAAATGTACTGGCAAGTATTTTTTCTATTGAAAAAATATGTACAAAAAAAGAAAATGAATAATTTCCTTTTACTTTTTCGATTACGTTGTTAATATTGTTTATAATTTTTGCAGCAAATGACTCTTTATTGAGTGAAACTCAGTACCTTGAGATAATTAGTATTTCATCACCTTATTTTAATATTGAAAATTGTGAAGTTGTTACTAAAGTATTAAAATATTCAGGACGTACATTATTAAAATATTCTTGCAACACAAATTACACATTGATTGGCGAAAATTGGGCAATGAGAATATATGGAAAATGGTTTAATGATCCACCTGTATGTAAATTAACAAAGGAACTAGAGTGTCTTCCATTTCGTTATAGAAAAAAATTTCCTACATTCACTAAGAATGGCAAAGAACTACATGCAAGAATAGAATGCAATGAATTTTCTTATTATAATGGTAATGAAAGAATACCAGAAAATTTAAATGCAGCTATTGTAAGTGTATTTTAATATTTAAAAAAATTTCCAAATTATTGTTTCTTTTATTTTTCATTTGTATATTAAAAATTGGATTTATTTTCATAAAAATGTGATTTATCGAAAATATTTTTAAATCCACAGGGAGTAAATAAATGCATTAATGGAACTTGGGGCATTGATATAGAAAGTGACGAACCTTGCCTACGTAAGTAATTCTTTTTTTTCTTTTCATTTCGTTTAAAAGTAATTAGAATAGGAAAAATTCAAACCAAATTTTGGTCCTGCACTTCTAGGACATTTGTTGTTCCCACATTTCATGAAATTTATTTTGCAGCTTTGCAATGTGATACTACAGTTGAAAATGGACGAGCTTCAGTTTCTAAATGGTACATGTCAATGAAATTGTATTGTAATACAAATTACGAGCCTATTGTAGATGAAATATTAAACTGCAATCCATCTACTGGTAGATGGCTTCCTTCATATAGTTTTGTACCATTTGAAAGTAGAAATGCAATTACCAACTGTTATCGTAAGTATTTCTTCTATTTTAGTTAATTAATGAATTAATATTTTATGAATGCTTAAAAAAATATTAAAACAAAATCATTGCATACGTAAATAGAATCGCAACAATATTTACATCGTCGATTTTGATAAAGCTGAAAAAATATTAAATTTTATTTTCGTTTATTTTGAATTACATTTTAAATTAAAAAATTTCAGATCATAATTGCTTAAGAAATTCTACGTTTTATAATTTATCAAACGGATATGTAGAGAAAACTTTTCCTGACAAGAAAACGGTTACTTTAAATTATTATTGCAATGAAAATTATACACTGATCGGAGAACAATCAGTAACTTGTGATGATGGAAAATGGTTGAAAACACCACCTCAATGTAAATTAACAAAAACACTGAAATGTCCACCGTTCAAATATGGAAGTTCAAGTGTAACATTTTTGGAAGATGGCAATATTGCTAGAATAAATTGCGATGATTCTGGTACTTTTTTAAGAACAATAGAAATGACAAAAGTCCGAGAAAACTTATCTGTAAGTCAAAAAAAAAATATATATATATATGTATATAATTTTGTTTTCAAAAGATGATAATCAAAGTGTTTCAAACAAATCACTCTCTGAATGTATAAATAAATAAAAATTTCAAAAATTAACATAATATTTATTAGATATACAATTTTTTTTAACGATTTGTATATTCACCTCTCATAAAAATTTTGCATGAAATTATTTTCCATAGATGGGAGAGCAACGATGCATTAATGGAAATTGGACAGGTGATATTAATTACAAAAATTGTGAACGTAAGTATTTGTCTAAAATTAAATTTCAAAAATTCAATAACAGACTCCAAGGAACCCTCCCGAATATAACAATTTTTAAGGGAATAAAATGAATTATTAATATATTAATTATTATTTTTATCCGCAGGTTGTGTACGAATAAATATGGATAATGCAATAGTAATGAATGACCAATGGGATACGAGAATGATAATATATTGCCTTTCAAAACATGTGCTTGAAGGAGATTCAAATTTCATTTGTCATCGTAATATTTGGGTACCTTCGACAAGTGATGGAGAATTGATTGTTAATTCTGAAAAAAAATTTCCACCTGTTTGTAAAGATCTGTTTGATAAGTTTGTTATTGATTCTCTTAACAAACCCTATCGTAATGGATAGAATAACTATCGGCATGTATTGAACTTGTTACTCTCTATATTTGAATCAGCTATAAGTGGTATAGTTGAATCATCGAGAATCCGAGTTGATTCAGATTGAGAGAGTATATATATATTTTTTTCATTTTGTTTTTTTAATGTACGTGAAACTAACTTTATTTACACAAAAAATAAATGCCTTGGCAAACTGATTAAAATTTCTTGTTTTTTCTTTAACTGTACATATATATATATAAAATAAGATGAAATATTGGATTAATAATCTCTCTAAATTTGAATTAGTGAAAAGTGAGCTACTAATTTATTTTTTTTATTTCTCATGTAACTCACAATGATTTGCAAAACGTTTGTCATTAATTTAAGTATAATCACGTAATAAAAATGATTATTCAAATTTTACAATAATTTCAATTTATAAAATTATCAGTTATAATTTTATCAATTAAAAGAATACAATGTACAATTGATAAGGAATTAGTATATTTTTATTTAAATATAGTTACAATAAAAACTTTGTATACGAAATAATATAAAATAAATTTGACATTTTTTGTCGCTATTATTTTTTTACCTTCAAACAACACAAATTACCTTAAAAAAAACCTACCAATTGAATCTAAATTGCAAGAGAAATCTACCTTACCAATTGATGGTAGAGAAATTTTTTGGAAAATGCTAATATAACAAATTACCGATACAGAAATCAACCTTACCAACTGATGGTAGAGAAATTTTGTTAAAAAGGAAAATATAAAAAAATTACCGACATAGAAATCTACCTTACCGATTGATGGTAAAGAATTTTTCTTAGAAAAATGCTAATACAAAAAATTACCGACATAGAAATCTACCTTATCGACTGACGATAAAGATTTTTTTGAAATTTTATCAACTTTTCGAAGAATCCCTTTACCATCAGTCGGTAAGTTATATTTCTAGGTGGGTAATGTAATATATTTTTATTTTTCAAAAATTTTTACCATTTTGTTTATTTTTTAACCATCTATGTATATTTAAATTTTTCGTATTCGAAAATCGTTTTTTAATTACTTGACTAAGGATATGAATTGCAAAAATATAATTCATCACTAATTGAAATATATTGTATGTTTGATCTTATATATTATGTCAGCATGCAATGGAAGGTCATATATATAGTCATTAATTACATGATCAAGTACACAATGTAGCGTCCAGTTAACTATATTTACACATATACATAAATATAAAAAGGCTTTGCAAAGTGAGTAAAATTTCTAGTTTATTTTTAACACGCAAATAAGATGGAACGTTGGATTAATAAAGTTGCCGTGGTAACTGGTGCCAGTTCAGGAATTGGTGTTGCTTTAGTAAAGGCATTGGTGAAAAAAAATATTAATGTCGTGGGTTTAGCGAGAAGAGTGGAAAATATGGAAAAAATTAAGAATCAATTAAAAAATGAAAAAGGTGCTTTTTATCCAATAAAATGTGATCTGAATAAGGAAGAAGATATTATTAAAGCATTTCAATGGATTGAAAAAAATTTGAAATCTGTCGATATTCTCGTTAATAATGCCGGAATTATGACACTTGATTTGCTAATTGGTATAAAAAATAAATTTTTTATTAATTTTTTGTTGAGGAAAATAAAAATTTATTTTTTGTTTCGGAAATAAGAAATAATTAAATTTTTGTTTAGAAAATTCGAAATTAATATTTTGTTTGGAAAATTAATTTTTTGTTTCAAGAAAATATAAAATAATTTTTTTTGTTTTTGTTTGGGAAAATAAAAATTAGTTTTCCATTTTTTTTTTAGATTCCTCGACATCGGATTTAAAAAAAATAATTGATGTTAATGTAATTGCGCCCACTGTCTGTATCAGGGAGGCTGTGAGAATTATGAGAGCGCACAATACTGCCGGTCATATTGTTAATATTAACAGGTGAATTTATTTTTTTTTTGTTTCTAAATTTGTGATATAAAATCACATTTATTTTTATTACTTTCATTATTTATTAGATTTTAAAATTTAATATATTAACAAATTTAACTATAATTGAAAATTGTTTCTATAACATGCGAGATGGTCTCGTGGTAAAGTGTCTTAGAACGAATATACTTCATGAATCTTTTCAGTCATGGTTCGAATCCCGTCGGATGTTAATTTTTTATTTATTTATTCATTAATTTTAATTCAATAATTTAATTATTTAATTCATCTTCAATGATTTTTTTTAGTTAAAATTATTTCTACAAAAATTTGTTTCAAAAAAAAATTAAATTTTTTCTTCCTTTTATATAGTATTGCGGGACAAAATGTTCAATTTTTCAACAATACAACATTTAATATCTATAGTGCAAGTAAATTTGCTTTCAATGCTGTGAGTCAAGTTGTTGAATTAGAATTGGGACATGTCAAAAGTCCTACAAAAGTCACAGTAAGTTTTTAAATTTTTGAAAAATTTTAATAAAAAAAATAACTGTTTCCAATTTTGAATTTTTTTTTTTAGATTTATTTTTTTACATTTACTTTTTATTAAATAATTTTTTGGTTTTGTTAAATTTTTTTTTTTTGCAAATTTATGTTTTATTAAATTATTTTTGTTGTATTTATTTTTTCTTAAAGACAATTTTTCCGGGACTAGTAAAAACTGAAATGCCACCTGATGATTTGTTGAAAAAAATTCCTTACGTCGATGCAGAAGATATTTCTGATGGTGTTATTTATGCTTTATCTACTCCACCTCACGTTCAGGTAGGATAATATTTAAAATATTGTTAAAATTATTTACATTATTAAAATTAAATTAAATTATTTAAAATAAATTTTGAAATAAATTTTTTTTTTAATATTTAGTAATAATTAATGTTAACTTATTTGTTACAGATAAAGGAATTAACAATTTGTCCAGTTCAAGGATATGAGCGTAAATAATGGGAAAATATGAATCTACAATTTAATATAATTAACCCTAGACAGCAAAACATATCTGGCTCATATACGTAGAAGAACATCTGGGGTATAAAACCACCCCAAAATTTTGTTTTGTTACTAGAATGTTCATATTTAATGCAAAATAACTTTATGATAGGTCAATTTCTTCGTTTTTTTATAAGGAAGAAGATAGCGTTTTTTGTTTTTTGATAGGATGAAAAATGTGTCCATAAAATTACAAAAACCAAAAAAAAGCACAAAATTTGCAAAATATGTCGTTTTTTACACTCGAATTTTCACTTTTTCCTTGCAATACAAATATAAGTATAGAATACACAAATATTAAGAAAAGAAAAATAATAAATAAATAAATTAATAATTAAAATAAATAATTATTAATTAATTATAAACAAATTTAATTACAATTTATTTATAATTAAATTATTTAAATTATAATTTAATTTAAGAAATGTATTTATTTTCAATAATTAATTAATAATTTCAATTATAAATTAATTAATTTATATATAGTTGTTAATGAAAAAATCTATTAATAATTATTTAATTGTTATAATTTTTATTTTTTTTTTAATAGTCATGTAATACATAATGATTTGCAAAACGTTTGTCAAGTATAATGACGTAATAAAAATGAATTTACAACTTTTACAATGATTTCTATTTTATAATTATTATCAATTTTCAGTGCTTAGTGGACTTATAGGAAAATAATAAAATTGATAAGAAATTATTTTTATTTAAATATATTGTTATATCAAGAATTTTGTTTTATTAAAATCTCATATCTTAATTGCACTTTAGAATTCGTTTTTTTCTAAGGTTCCAAATATTCAGTAAATTTTAAAGTTGCAAATGAAAAAATTTAATTATAAATCTATTATTAATTATTAATTAATATTTATGTCATTAAACAATAACGGTAATAACTTGCGACTATATTCACGTCATTAATTAGTGAAGGTCATTCACGAACTTCATTTTTTTGAGGTTATGTTTGTTTTAACTTTTGTTTTCGACATTTAACCTTGAACTTCAAGGTTATGTTCATATTTAAACTTTGTTTTTGACTGGATTTTTAAGGTTATGTTCCTTTTTGACATGTGAGCATTGAATTTTGAGGTTATGTTAAAAAAGGGGTTAAAATTTATGTTTATGTTTGTCTTTAACCTATGTTTTTGACATATGACCATGATTTTTAAGGTTATGTTCACTTTTATCTATGTTTTTGTCATGTTATCTTTACTTTTTGAGGTTATGTTCATCTTTAAGGTTATGTTCGTCTTTAAACTATGTTTTTGACACTATTAATACAATCCTTAAGGCAGCGGCTATATTCAGAGCCTTGAAACGAACATAACCTCAAAATTTAGGTCATTTCTGGCGGTGGAGGGGAGGGGACTTGCGGCTATATTCAGAGTCTTGAAACGAACATAACCTCAAAATTTAGGTCATTTTTGACGGAGGAGGGGAGGGGGGACTTGCGGCTATATTCAGAGTCTTGAAACGAACATAACCTCAAAATTTAGCCCATTTTGGCGGAGGAGGGGAAATGAGAGGAGGGAGGGGGGACTTGCGGCTATATTCAGAGCCTTGAAACGAACATAACCTCAAAATTTAGGTCATTTCTGGCGGTGGAGGGAAGGGGACTTGCGGCTGTATTCAGAGTCTTGAAACGAACATAACCTCAAAATTTAGGAGGGGGGACCCCTCCCCCTCCTAGGTCAAGAATTCTTGAAACAGTGGCGGCGGAGGCGGCGATATCTTTTTGTAATATAGGAAGATATATAGTAGACAATTGCATATATATAAAAGCATGACACGGATAGTAATTTTCAGATCACTGTTAACAATCAATCAAGATGGAACGTTGGAATAATAAAGTTGCCGTGGTAACTGGTGCAAGTTCAGGAATTGGTGAAGCATTAGTGAAAGAATTGGTGAAAAAAAATGTTAAAGTTGTGGGTTTAGCGAGAAGAATTGAAAATATGGAAAAAATAAAAAATCATTTAAATAAAAATGAAAAAGGTGCTTTTCATCCAATTAAATGTGATGTCAGTAAAGAACAAGATATAATTAAAGCATTTCAATGGATTGAGAAAAATTTAAAATCCGTCGATATTCTCGTTAATAATGCTGCAGTTCTTACATCAGATTTGTGTATTGGTATTAAAAAAAAAAAAATTTGCTTCTAAAAAAATAATTATTTTTTTTAAAAAAATATAAAGAAGGAAGAAAAATAGTTAATTTATTGTTAAAATTACTTTTTTTCTTTTTTTTTTCTAGAAAGTACAACGGAAAATTTGAAAAATGTAATTGATGTAAATTTAATTGGTCCAACTATTTGCACAAGGGAGGCTGTGAAAATTATGAGAGCAAATAATACAGCGGGTCATATTATTAACATTAATAGGTAGGAAAAAAATTTTTTTCCTAAAAGATATAAATTAAAAAATTTTTTCTTTGAAATATACAAAATTTAAAATTTAGTTATGAAAAATAATTTTTTTTTTATTTTTATCAATATAAATTTACAGATTTAACATAAAAACAAAATTCTGTTAGGCATAGGAATTTCTGCAATTTTTTTTTTTTAAGTAAATATAACGAATTTTCAGTATTGCCGGACACAGTGTTGGATTTTTTAACAATTCAGCATTTAATATGTATAGTCCTAGTAAATTTGCTCTCAAAGCAATGAGTCAAGTTGTTGAATTGGAACTTCAACATGTGAAAAGTCCCGCAAAAGTCACTGTAAGTGATATTTTGTATAAATTAATAATAATTTTTATTTTAATAAATTTTCATAAAAATTATTAAATTTCTATAATTTTTTTTTTAAATTATTATATTATAAAATTAATAAATTTTAATTTAAAATATTGCAATTTTGTTAATTTTTTTTTTTGTATTTTATTAGACTATATTTCCTGGATTGGTAAAAACTGATATGCCACCAGAGGAAGCTTTTAAAATTATACCCTACGTTGATGCTGAAGATATTTGTGATGGAATTATTTATGCTTTGTCAACACCTCCACATGTACAGGTAACAATAAAATAAATTAAAATCAAATTTTTATCATTAATTTGTTAAATTAATTTTTTTAAAAATAAATAAAAATAAATTTGTTCAAAATGATAAAAAAAAAAAATTGTCTTTTTCAGATTAAGGAACTTACAATTACTCCTGTTCTTGGCTATCAACGTAAATAAATAATAAAAATGTATTTAATATATATAGTTTTTTAATTTGCATAAAATAGTTAATAAAAAATAAAAAAAATTATTACAAAAAAAAATTATTATACTAATATTATTATTTGCTAAGAAAAAAAATTGTCATCCTTGAAAAATAGAATTAAATAAAAACTATTGTTATTTTAAATCTTTAGCATCTAATTAATGTAAATTATTATCAACTAACTTATATAATTAGTGGAAATTAAAAAAAATAATATAATTTTCTCGAGAACTAATCCTTGAGAAATTTTGATTAATTTAAATTATGTTTTTTTTTAAATTTATAACAAAATATAAAAATAATTTTCAAAAAAAAATATATATATATAATTTATTTAATAATTTTCTATGTAAAGAATCGGATCTTTTTTTCCATTTCAATGTCATTGGAAAACATATATTGTACAATCTCAGCATGAATAGACAATTTTCCATAATATATAATTGAGAGAAGTATTTATAAAGATAGATATTCTATTACATAATAATTACAAGTACTTTTAATTTTTTTTTTCAATTATAATTATTTTAAATAAAAACTTATTATGAGTAAAAAATTATGAAAATTTCTTTAAATTAAATATTAAGTATTCAAATTTTATTTAAATTTTGAGGTTATGTTTCGTTACTTAATTATAGGGGGAATTTGAAGTTATGTTTATTGGATATATATAGCCTCAAAAACCCAACGGTTCCATGTCCCTATGTCCTTGAATTTTGAGGTTATGTTTGAACTAAGGCCTTGAATCCTGAAAACCATATATGCCCTAGAATTTTGAGGTTATGTTTGATATCTGACCGCATGAATTTTGGAAACCTATGACTTTGAATTTTAAGGTTATGTTTGATTTATGACCTTGAATCCTATAGAGACCTAGGACCTTGAATTTTGAGGTTATGTTCGTTTTAATACTAATATATGTGTCGTTCTACGTCAATTCGACTGTTTGAGGTTAAAATCAGAACTTAAATACTAATATTGGTCATTCCATGTCAAGTGTAACCAACCCATGTTTTTGACATTGTTAATACAGTGGTTGGTTACACTTGATATGGAATGACCCTAACCTAACCTAACCTAACCTAACCTAACCTAACCTAACCTAACCTAACCTAACCTAACCTAACCTAACCTAACCTAACCTAACCTAACCTAACCTAACCTAAAATAACCTAACCTAACCTAACCTAACCTAACCTAACATAACCTAACCAAACCTTGTTAAATTCAGAGGTTAGGTACACTTGATAAAAATTCTCGGGTCTACTGGACCCATGGTGCCAGTTAAGGGTAATAATTTCTTTCTCTATCTCTATGTACCTAACCTAACCTAACCTAACCTTGTTAAATTCAGAGGTTAGGTACTCTTGACAAAAATTCTCGGGTCTACTGGACCCATGGTGCCAGTAGAGGGTAATAATTTCTTTCTCCCTCTCTACCTAACCTAACTTACCTAACCTAACCTAACCTAACCTAACTTAACCTAACCAAACCTAACCTTGTTAAATTCAGAGGTTAGGTACACTTGACAAAAATTCTCGGGTCTACTGGACCCATGGTGCCAGTTAAGGGTAATAATTTCTTTCTTCCTCTATCTCATAAAAAACTATAGATAAAAGTCTTCCTTTAAAAAATTTTTTTTTTAAATTTTATTTCACAAAATAAATAACACAAGAATGTTTTCCATTATCTAATTTGCATATTTACTCTTTTCAAAAAAATAAATACGTCATTATAAATATTTAATCTTGACTAGTTTTTCAAAATCATGATAAAATTCACACATACAAATGCAATGATAATGTTTCATAATGACATTATATTATATGTATTATGTAATATGATATTGAACTTTTTGTTCAATTGCAGTAGATAGATAAAAAAAAAAAAAATTTGCCGCCGGGAGATGTAATTTTCACAGTCACGCGTTAACAATCAAACAAAATGGATCGTTGGATTAATAAAGTTGCTGTAATAACTGGTGCAAGTTCAGGAATTGGTGAGGCATTAGTAAAAGAATTGGTGAAAAAAAATGTCAAAGTTGTTGGTTTAGCGAGAAGAGTTGAGAATATGGAAAAAATTAAGAATCAATTAAAAAATGAAAAAGGTGCTTTTTATCCAATAAAATGTGATGTCAGTAAAGAAGATGACATATGCAATGCATTTAAATGGATTGAGAAAAATTTAAAATCTGTCGATATTCTCATTAATAATGCTGGAATTATTCACATGAATTTATGCATTGGTAGGCATCAGTAAAAAATTTTTTTTTTCTAAAAAATTAAAATTAAACAATTAAATTTATTTTGTTTCTAAAAAATTAAAATCTTTGCAAAAATATAAATTTTTTAAATAAATTTAGTGAATTTTATTTTATTAATTGAATTACCAATTTTTCAATTTTTTTTTTTTTTTTTTTTTGTAGAAAGTTCAACGGAAAATTTAAAAAATGTTATGGATGTTAATTTAATTGGTCCAACTATCTGTACCAGGGAGGCTGTGAGAATTATGAGAGCAAATAATACAGCTGGTCATATTATTAACATTAATAGGTAATTTGTATATACTTGACATAAAAAAAACTTTTTTTCTTTTTTTTTAAAATTTATACTAATTAGAATTGAAAAGGAAAAATTATTTTTTTCAAAATTTGTTAATTTAAAATTTCTTGTCCAAAAAAATAGTGGTAGTTAATTTTTTTTTCATATATATTTTTCTTCAAAATTAATTTATTTCTATTTAAAAAAGCTAATATTGTATATTAATGTGTATACTTTGTTTATAGATAAATAATTTTTTCAATGTGAAACAAAATAAAAAAAAAAAATTTTTTTTCTAGAAATATTTCTTTTTTTTCAGTATTCTGGGACAAAATGTGGGATTCTATAATACCCACGCAGGTGCTATGTACAGTCCGAGTAAATTTGCTTTTAAGGCCTTGAGTCAAGTAGTTGAATTGGAACTTCAACATGTTAAAAGTCCAACAAAAGTCACTGTAACTATATTATTATAAAAAATTTTGCAATTTTTTTTTTTTATTTAAAAATTTTCAATCATTTTTTAATTTCAAATTTAAAATTAATTTAAAATTTGGAATTAATTAAAAAATTTTAATTATAGTTTCAATTTTTTAATTAAAAATTTGGAATTAATTAAAAAATTTTAATTAGTTTCAATTTTTTAAATTTAAAATTCTCATTCTTTTGTTAAGACTATTTTCCCTGGCTTAGTAAAAACGGAAATGCCACCAGATCAAGCAATTAAACTAATGCCTTATGTTGACGCTGAAGATATTTGCGATGCAATTATTTATGCTTTATCCACACCTCCACATGTTCAGGTAAAAGACAAAAATTAATTGCAAAAAAATATTTTATTACATAAATAAATAAAAATAAAGAAAAATTTAATTTTTTTAAATAAAAATTTTTAAATCATTCCAATTTAAAATTAAATTAAATTTGCTTGTTCATTTCTTGTAAATGCTATATATACTAATTTCATCAAATTTTAATTTAAAAATAATAATTATTCTTGAATGATAAAAGAAAAATTATCTTTTTCTAGATTAAAGAACTTACAATCACGCCAGTTGCTGGTTATCAACGTAAATAATATATATATATATAAAAATTGTATTCAATAAATTTTTGTATATTTCATTTTGTCTAAAAGATTAATTAAAAAAAAAAAAAATTATAAAATACATTTTTTACATTGAAAAGTATCTTTGATATTTGCAATGATTTGCAAATTGCATACAATTTATTTTCTTCATTTACCTTAGTGATGCAACAAGTATGAGACGGCAATTTTTTTTTTTCATTATCGAATGCTCTTTATATTCTACAATGTATAAAATTGTAATTAAAGAATAAATTTCCATTTTAAAAAACCATTATTTTTAAACTTTAAACCTACTTTGCTATTTGTTTGAAAATTTAATAACATAATGAAATGGAATTGTATAGTTTTTAAATTATATCTTTCTAGTGAATGTTTTCAATCTACAAATACACTGTAAAACGAGAGGTATTAATTTAATACCAACTTTAGGTACTAAATTGCCTTTTGGTTCTATTTTAATACCTAACATTGGTACTATTTTAGTACCTTCTTTTTACAGTGATAGAAAAAGAAGCCAAATAATTATGTTAATAAATAGAATTAAGAATTTTATTATTCACTTCATTTAATATAAGCATCTTAAGAAAGTAGTATAGCAATACGAGTTTTGCGGTAGGTTCTGATCTCCGCTAAGTACCGATAGTCGGTAAGTGCTACGTCGGTAAGGCAGATTTCTACTTCATCAGCAGTCGGTAAGGTAGGAATCTGACAAAATTTCAACTAAGACGATAATGTTCAGTCGGCAAAACAGTTCCCTACTTTATCGGTTGAGTTGAAATTTTGTTGATAAATTAGGAATCTGACAAAATTTCAAGTAGGACGATAATGTAGTAAACGGTATTATAAACCGAACATTAAACTCAGTACGATTTATTGAGTGGTCGGTAAGCTAACTTCAACGATTAGTCGGTAAAGCAGTTTCCTATTTTACAGTCGAGTCTGAATTTTTCAGATTCCTACTTTACCGACTGCTCATAAAAAAGAAATATACATTATCGACTTAAAAATTACCAACTGTAGGTACTTAGCCAAGATCAGAACCTGTCAAAGGACCCGTGTTGCTACTTTAAACATTTTTCGGTGTATTTTGTGCAAAAATATGTAATAAAATCGTCTGCCTAAGAAAACTTGAATTTTTTTGGAAAGTTTTTTTGCTTTTGGATGCGTTTTTGGTCATAAAAAGGGTCTTCCTCTACTCGGATCTGGGTGTCAATTTTTTTCTACACTTTTCGGTGTTTTTTGTGCAAGAATATACAATAAAATCGTCTGCCTAAGAAAAATTGAATTTTTTTGGAAAGTTTTTTTGCTTTTGGATGCGTTTTTGGTCATAAAAAGGGTCTTCCTCTACTCGGATCTGGGTGTCAATTTTTTTTTACACTTTTCGGTGTATTTTGTGCAAGAATATGGATAAAATCGTCTGCCTTCGAAAAATTGAATTTTTTTCGAAAGTTTTTTTCATTTTGGATGCGTTTTTGGTCATAAAAAGGGTCTTCCTCTACTCGGATCTGGGTGTCAATTTTTTTTTACACTTTTCGGTGTATTTTGTGCAAGAATATGGATAAAATCGTCTGCCTTCGAAAAATTGAATTTTTTTGGAAAGTTTTTTTGCTTTTGGATGCGTTTTTGGTCATAAAAAGGGTCTTCCTCTACTCGGATCTGGGTGTCAATTTTTTTCTACACTTTTCGGTGTATTTTGTGCAAGAATATGCAATAAAATCGTCTGCCTAAGAAAAATTGAATTTTTTTGTTTAGTTTTTTATGCTTTTGGATTCGTTTTTGGTCATAAAAAGGGTCTTCCTCTACTCGGATCTGGGTGTCAATTTTTTTCTACACTTTTCGGTGTATTTTGTGCAAGAATATGCAATAAAATCGTCTGCCTAAGAAAAATTGAATTTTTTTGGAAAGTTTTTTTGCTTTTGGATGCGTTTTTGGTCATAAAAAGGGTCTTTCTCTACTCGGATCTTGGTGTCAATTTTTTTCTACACTTTTCGGTGTATTTTGTGCAAGAATATACAATAAAATCGTCTGCCTAAGAAAAATTGAATTTTTTTGTTTAGTTTTTTATGCTTTTGGATTCGTTTTTGGTCATAAAAAGGGTCTTCCTCTACTCGGATCTGGGTGTCAATTTTTTTCTACACTTTTCGGTGTATTTTGTGCAAGAATATGCAATAAAATCGTCTGCCTAAGAAAAATTGAATTTTTTTGGAAAGTTTTTTTGCTTTTGGATGCGTTTTTGGTCATAAAAAGGGTCTTCCTCTACTCGGATCTTGGTGTCAATTTTTTTCTACACTTTTCGGTGTATTTTGTGCAAGAATATACAATAAAATCGTCTGCCTAAGAAAAATTGAATTTTTTTGTTTAGTTTTTTATGCTTTTGGATTCGTTTTTGGTCATAAAAAGGGTCTTCCTCTACTCGGATCTGGGTGTCAATTTTTTTCTACACTTTTCGGTGTATTTTGTGCAAGAATATGGAATAAAATCGTCTGCCTACGAAAAATTGAATTTTTTTGGAAAGTTTTTTTGCTTTCGGATGCGTTTTTGGTCATAAAAAGGGTCTTCCTCTACTCGGATCTGGGTGTCAATTTTTTTCTACACTTTTCGGTGTATTTTGTGCAAGAATATGCAATAAAATCGTCTGCCTAAGAAAAATTGAATTTTTTTGGAAAGTTTTTTTGCTTTCGGATGCGTTTTTGGTCATAAAAAGGGTCTTCCTCTACTCGGATCTGGGTGTCAATTTTTTTCTACACTTTTCGGTGTATTTTGTGCAAGAATATGGAATAAAATCGTCTGCCTACGAAAAATTGAATTTTTTTGGAAAGTTTTTTTGCTTTTGGATGCGTTTTTGGTCATAAAAAGGGTCTTCCTCTACTCGGATCTGGGTGTCAATTTTTTTTTACACTTTTCGGTGTATTTTGTGCAAGAATATGGATAAAATCGTCTGCCTTCGAAAAATTGAATTTTTTTGGAAAGTTTTTTTGCTTTTGGATGCGTTTTTGGTCATAAAAAGGGTCTTCCTCTACTCGGATCTGGGTGTCAATTTTTTTCTACACTTTTCGGTGTATTTTGTGCAAGAATATGCAATAAAATCGTCTGCCTAAGAAAAATTGAATTTTTTTGTTTAGTTTTTTATGCTTTTGGATTCGTTTTTGGTCATAAAAAGGGTCTTCCTCTACTCGGATCTGGGTGTCAATTTTTTTCTACACTTTTCGGTGTATTTTGTGCAAGAATATGCAATAAAATCGTCTGCCTAAGAAAAATTGAATTTTTTTGGAAAGTTTTTTTGCTTTTGGATGCGTTTTTGGTCATAAAAAGGGTCTTTCTCTACTCGGATCTTGGTGTCAATTTTTTTCTACACTTTTCGGTGTATTTTGTGCAAGAATATACAATAAAATCGTCTGCCTAAGAAAAATTGAATTTTTTTGTTTAGTTTTTTATGCTTTTGGATTCGTTTTTGGTCATAAAAAGGGTCTTCCTCTACTCGGATCTGGGTGTCAATTTTTTTCTACACTTTTCGGTGTATTTTGTGCAAGAATATGCAATAAAATCGTCTGCCTAAGAAAAATTGAATTTTTTTGGAAAGTTTTTTTGCTTTTGGATGCGTTTTTGGTCATAAAAAGGGTCTTCCTCTACTCGGATCTTGGTGTCAATTTTTTTCTACACTTTTCGGTGTATTTTGTGCAAGAATATACAATAAAATCGTCTGCCTAAGAAAAATTGAATTTTTTTGTTTAGTTTTTTATGCTTTTGGATTCGTTTTTGGTCATAAAAAGGGTCTTCCTCTACTCGGATCTGGGTGTCAATTTTTTTCTACACTTTTCGGTGTATTTTGTGCAAGAATATGGAATAAAATCGTCTGCCTACGAAAAATTGAATTTTTTTGGAAAGTTTTTTTGCTTTCGGATGCGTTTTTGGTCATAAAAAGGGTCTTCCTCTACTCGCATCTGGGTGTCAATTTTTTTCTACACTTTTCGGTGTATTTTGTGCAAGAATATACAATAAAATCGTCTGCCTAAGAAAAATTGAATTTTTTTGGAAAGTTTTTTTGCTTTTGGATGCGTTTTTGGTCATAAAAAGGGTCTTCCTCTACTCGGATCTGGGTGTCAATTTTTTTTTACACTTTTCGGTGTATTTTGTGCAAGAATATGGATAAAATCGTCTGCCTTCGAAAAATTGAATTTTTTTCGAAAGTTTTTTTCATTTTGGATGCGTTTTTGGTCATAAAAAGGGTCTTCCTCTACTCGGATCTGGGTGTCAATTTTTTTCTACACTTTTCGGTGTATTTTGTGCAAGAATATACAATAAAATCGTCTGCCTAAGAAAAATTGAATTTTTTTGGAAAGTTTTTTTGCTTTTGGATGCGTTTTTGGTCATAAAAAGGGTCTTCCTCTACTCGGATCTGGGTGTCAATTTTTTTCTACACTTTTCGGTGTATTTTGTGCAAGAATATACAATAAAATCGTCTGCCTAAGAAAAATTGAATTTTTTTGGAAAGTTTTTTTGCTTTTGGATGCGTTTTTGGTCATAAAAAGGGTCTTCCTCTACTCGGATCTGGGTGTCAATTTTTTTCTACACTTTTCGGTGTATTTTGTGCAAGAATATACAATAAAATCGTCTGCCTAAGAAAAATTGAATTTTTTTGGAAAGTTTTTTTGCTTTTGGATGCGTTTTTGGTCATAAAAAGTGGCTTCCTCTACTCGGATCTGGGTGTCAATTTTTTTCTACACTTTTCGCTGTATTTTGTGCAAGAATATACAATAAAATCGTCTGCCTAAGAAAAATTGAATTTTTTGCTGCCTCTTGGAGGAAGCTTTGTAGTCCTTTCGTTTATGTGTGTGTATGTGTCTGTCTGTGTGTGTGTGTGTGTGTGTGGATCCCTTTTTTGTTTAGAAGATAACTTTAACAGGTTTTAATGGATTTAGATAAAATTTAGTAGGCTCATTTATCATATTAATATGTAATGGACATCTGAATTTACAACTTGTTTAAATTTATTTTTAAATAAAAAATTGATAAAAATTTTTTTTTTTTTAAAGCCCTTTGTAAAAATGGTAATTTTTCTAAAATATAAGTTTTAAAAAAAGAAAATTAAAAAAAAATCATAGTCTGAAAATTGATTTGAAAATTTTTTTTTTCTTTTACTTTCCATGCAAAAAGTTAATTTAAAATTTAAATTAAAAGAAACCTTTACCTATATATAAATATAAGTATATGTATCTTAAAGTCCTCATAATAATATTGCAAAATATAAATTTTTTTTTTCCTCAAATTTAAAAAGTAATTTACAGTGTTCTGTTAACATTCAAATAAAATGGATCGTTGGATTAATAAAGTTGCAGTGGTGACTGGTGCAAGTTCAGGAATTGGTGAAACCCTCGTAAAAGCGTTAATGAAAAAAAATATTAAAGTCGTCGGATTAGCGAGAAGAGTTGAGAATATGGAAAAAATTAAAAATGAATTAAAAAATGAAAAATGTGCTTTTTATCCAATTAAATGTGATCTCAGTAAAGAAGAGGATATTATCAATGCTTTTCAATGGATTGAGAATAATTTTCAAACTATCGATATTCTTGTTAATAATGCTGGAATTATGACAGAAAATTTGTGCCTTGGTATATATATATATATTTATAGAAAAAAATAATATAATTTCTATATATTCTTTCAATTTCTACTGTTTTGGCAGTCGGTAATGTAGAAACCTAAAAAAAAATTTCAATATATTTTTTCAATTTCTACTATTTTAGCAGTCGGTATTAAAGAAACCTAGAAAAATTTCTATATTTTTTCAATTTCTACTATTTTAGCTGTCGGTAATGTAGAAATCTAAATAAAAAAATTATAATTAAATTAAAAAAATGGTAGAGGCATTTACCTTAGATATCAAGTAATAAAATAATGTATTTTCTTTCTAAATATAAATTATATATGTATAAAAAAATATTTAGTTTTTATTATGAATAACAAACGTTTTTTTTTAGAGAGTTCAACAGAAAATTTGAAAAAAATTGTTGATGTTAATTTAATTGGACCCACTATCTGTACGAGGGAAGCTGTAAGAATTATTAGGTCAAATAATACAGTTGGTCATATCATTAACATAGACAGGTATAGTCTCTCTTTAATAATTAATTATTAAAAAATTATATTAATTAAAAAAAAATTGATAATGAAAATTATGTTTCAAATGTTAACCATTTTTTTTATTATATAATAAATATAAATAATATAAAATATAAATAAATATAATAAAAATTTAATTTTCAATTTTGTTTAAATAGTATTTTGGGACAAAATGTTGCATTTTACAATAGTTCCGCATTTGATATGTACAGTCCATCTAAATTTGCTCTTAAGGCTATGAGTCAAGTGATCGAATTTGAATTGGAACACATAAAAAATTCTACAAAAATAACTGTAAGTTTATGTTAAACAAAAATAAAAACTTTTAAAAAAAATTATATTCAATATTGCATAAAAATTAATTATTTCTCCCCCTTTTTTTAAGACAATATTTCCAGGATTAGTGAATACAGATTTACCACCACAGGAAGCATTGAAAATTATTCCTTATCTTAATACTGATGATGTTTGCGATGCAATTATTTATGTTTTATCAACTCCTTCACATGTACAGGTAAAACGAAAATTAACTAACATTATTAAAAACCTTTATTATTTACAATTTTATAATAAAAAAAAAAATTTATTTTTCAGATTAAGGAATTATTAATTACTCCAGTTTTATAGTTTTTTTTTTGAATGAATATTTGTCAATTTTATCAATATAAATGCTAAATTTATAAATAAAGCTAGATACAAAATATTTCTTTTCTTTTATTGACTTGAAATAAATCATCTATTAGTTCTGGTAGACCGAAATTAATGTCAGGTAGCTGAATTACCGACTGTTGATCAAAATGGAAATCTACATTACCGACTGTTGATAAAAAAATGGAAATCTACATTACCGACTGTTGGTTAAAAATGTGAATCTACATTACCAACTGTTGGTTTAAAAAAAATGTAAATCTACATTACCGACTGTTGGTCAAAAATGGTATTTTTTGTACAGATTCTCATTTAATTTGTAATTACTTTTTCATGGAGAAATTTTTTTTTCAATTGGAAAAAGAGTGTTATAATTCATAAATTTATAGTTCACATCTTTAGGATAAATGGAAATTTTATTGACGAATATTTCCGAAAAGTGTGTGAAACAAGAAAATATTGTAAAAATCAATAGATATGTTTTAATTTTTCCTTAATGTTTCTAGCAACGTCAACATAAACAGCAGAAAGACTGTAATTTTGAAAACGTCAACTAGTATTTTTTTTAGAATTTATGACTTTTTTTTTTATTTAAAATGTATATACGAGGAAAAATTCCTCAGTCATCAATATCCATATTATACTGACGATATGACTAGAAATGGGAAAATTGTTTTACTATACAGAAATTTAGTTAGTATTCAGTACATATTTTGAAATTTAAGGAAAATAAAATCGTAAGTTATTAAGTATATAGTGAATATCATTTTTCAAAATCGTTAATTTCAAATATTACAATATTTTTTTGCTACCAATTTAATTATGTAATCACTTTGTAAATCTAAATTTAAAAAAAGAAATTAATACTTTTTTTCCCTACAATATTCTATTGTTATTTTCAAATAATTATTTTTTTAATTCAATTAATTACAGTTGGCATTATTAGAAGTGTTCTTATTTAACTATTTGATAATATTATTAAAGTTTTCGACAACACTTTAAACATTAAATTATACTCTCTAGACTTCTTTTTAATGCATTTAATTTAGTCGTTGATCAAAACTTTTTCTGCTTTTCTTTTGTCTAATTAAATAAATAATTATTTCTCTTAATTCCCTGGACTTTTAAACAAGAAAGAAAATAATTAAATAAAATTGCATAGTTTTTAAATTGTATCTTTCTAAAAAATGTTTTCAATCTATAAATATATAGAAGAAGAAGACAAATATTTATGTTAATGAATAGAATTAAGAATTTAATTATTTACTTCATTTAATAAGCATTTTAAGAAAGGAGTATTGCAATACGAGTTTTGCGGTAGGTTCTGATCTCCGCTAAGTACCAATAGTCGGTAAGTGCTCCGTCGGTAAGGCAGATTTCTACTTTATCAGCAGTCGGTAAGGTAGGAATCTGACAAAATTTCAACTAAGACGATAATGTTCAGTCGGCAAAACAGTTCCCTACTTTATCGGTTGAGTTGAAAATTTAAAAAGATTCCTACCTTACTGACTGCTGATTAAGTAGAAATCTACATTACAGACTGGGCTGTAATGTACCTCGACTGTAGGTACTTAGTCGAGGTCAAAACATGCCGCAGAAAATGTGTTACTATACTACTCTGCCGCAGGTTTTGATCTCGACTAAGTACCTACAGTCGGTAAGTTCTCGGCCGGCAATGCAGATTTCTACTTTATCAGCAGTCGATAAGGTAGGAATCTGACAAAAAATTAACTGGGACGATAATGTAGGAAACTGTTTTACTGACCGAACTTTGAAGCCAGTGTCATCTACTGGGTGCTCGGTTCAATATTCGGTCGGTAAAACAGTTTTCTACTTTATCGGACGAATTAAATATTTTGTCAGATTCCTACCTTACCGACGGTTGATAAAATAGAAATCTGCATTATCGACTGAGTAATTACCAACTGTAGTTACTTAGCTGAGATCAGAACCTGCCGCAGAATCCGTATTGATATACTATACTTTAGAATCAAATTTTCTTTAATTCTAACTGAAATTACTATTTCTTTACAGGACTTGTCACTAAAAATGATTATTAAATTGCAAATAATCTACATTTCGATCGCAACTTTTGTAATTGGAGACATACCATCTCAAAATGTTGATAAATTAAATTGGTTGAAAAAAATTTTAACATCCATTACAAATGATTCGAAATTCTATCAAATGGTATTGATAACAGAGAATAAAATTCAAACACTCGATCATGTACTAAAAGAAATTCAAACAAAACTACCGATTTTGTATCTAAATTCAACTTTCATTACCAAAACAAAGTTAAAGGAATTTCAAAAAATGAGAATTATGAAAAATACAAGGGAAACACTTTTTTCCATTTTAAATGATGAGGGAAATTTTACGACAATTATCAAACAAATGGAATTTATTGGAAATATATCACTATTCACTATTCGATCAAAATGTCTAATTATCTGCTTTACAAATTTCAATCAAACAACAAATTATAAAATATTTCTCGAAAATATGTGGAAAAATTTATTTCTCGACGTGACAATTCTTGATATCAACAAAAATAAATCCATAATTTATCAATTAAATCCTTTCAACAATTCTTACATTGTCAAACAATTTTTTGAAATAACAGAATTATTTCCCAATAAATTGAAAAATTTACACAAATATCCATTAAAAATTGGTGTTTTTGATTTACCACCATTTTTGAATTTAAAAAAAAATTCAACAACATTACTCGATATAATTGGACTAGATGCATTGGTATTAAAAGTATTTGCGGAAAAAATGAATTTTCAATTAATTCCAATAGAATCAAAAATCAAAGGTTTTGGTAGATCCGGTTGTTTTAAAACAAATACAACGGGACTAATGAATGCGGTATTATATAATAAAATACAATTAATTGGCGGTAGATCAATGTCATTGAGAGCCGATTGTCTTAAAGATGAAAATGAATCAATGGAACTTGAAGTCGATCATTATTTATTAGTTGTTCCATTAATATTAAAAACAGCCTATTCATTATCAATTGGAAATTCATTTTACTATTCATTAATATTAATTGGATTTTGTCTTACAACATGTTGGTCGGTTGAATATTTTGGAAAATTTGATAAAAAAATTTGGAATAAAATGTCAATTATACAAATATTATTTTCCATGTCACTTGAAAGAGAACCAATGAAATTAAAAGAAAAATTTTGTTTTATATTATTTATGCTTGTTGCATTTATATGGTCATCGGATATTATTGCATCATTAATGGATATGCAATTTCATCTGGGTAAAGAGATACAGATTAATAGTTTTAGTGATTTATTAAAGAGTAATTTGAAAATAAGTTGTTCGCCAAATGTTGCATGGGGTTTTAAGAATATTGTCATTAAAGAGGAGAATTTAACAATGTTTTTAAAAAATGATAGTGCACAACAATTTGTCTACTATAGTAATTGTATTGATGTTTTATTGGAGAAAAAAAATGTTGCATGTCTATTAAAAAAATCGGTTGCCGATTGGCAAACACGAATTGTTAATCGTGATAAACTTTTAAAATATCTTGATAGTGCTATTTATTCGACGGTTAATGCATTTTTAATGGAACCAGGTTCACCGTATGTTGATGAATTTCGTCGAATTTATTTACAATTAGCTAAAAGTGGACTTGTGGAAAAATGGAAAATTCACGATAAGAAAATTGAAAAAAGTGAATTTGATTCAGAAAATTCGGAGGAAAATATTAAGATCACAACATTTTTAATCGGAATAATGATTTTGGGATTTGGTGCATCAATTTTAGCATTTATTGGAGAGTTATTGATAAATAGATTTTGGTAAAATTTACTATTCTCGGAATTTCTTTTTCATTTTTTTTTCGATGTTAATACCCAATGGGAAACTGCCACGAGTAACCATTGGCGTATTAATTGGCCCAATAAAAACCAACCAATAATTTGCCAATATTAAAAATTTTAATAATAATTTTTAAAAAAAATTTATTTTTATTATTTTTTAATAGTTATTATTATTATTATTATTTTATTTTTAATAATTAAATTAAAATAAAAAAATGCTCATCAAAGTATTAGTGAAACCATTTCTTTCAAAAAAGAATTTGTCTTAAATCCAATAAATAGGAGAGACATTGGGCAGAAAAAAAAATTTCGACAAGAAAAAAAATTTTCGATCACTGCTTATATACCAATCTAATGGCACCTCAACTGCGAGAAACAGTTATGATGTTCGCCCTCTTTGTGGCGTTGAGCGAACTAAAGTCCAGAGCTGAGCCATCAGCGCAGCGCGGGAACATTTGAAAAATTTAATTTTATTAGATATTTTATTTTTTAATTAACGAATTACTAAGTATAACATTATTGTTATTAATAATTATTTATGACATTAATTATTTATTAAGTTAATTATTTGTCATATTTAAAATAAAATAAAATATCTAATAAAATCAAATTTTTCAAATGTTCCCGCGCTCTGCGCTGATGGCTCAGCTCTGGACTTTAGTTCGCTCAACGCCACTGGGAGGGCGAACATCATAACTGTTTCTCACAGTTGAGATGCCATTAGATTGGTATATAAGCAGTGATCGAAAATTTTTTTCTGCCCGATGTCTCTCCTATTTATTGGATTATTAAAAATAAAATAATAATAATAATAATAATAATAATAACTATTAAAAAATAATAAAAATAAAATTTTTTTTTTAAATTATTAATTTTTTAAATTATTAATATTTTAAATTATTATTAAAATTTTTAATATTGGATAATTATTGGTTGTCAATAATTTGCCAATGATGGTTGCCAATCATTATATTGGCATCCCTGGCTCCCATTATTCGGCCATTAATACGCCAATGGTATTTTTTCCATTGGGTATAGAAATGTTTTACTTGAATCAAATATATTATATTTGAGTTAAATAAACGTATATTTGTCTCACAGCCTACCAGCTCATTTATTTGGCGGAAATAAATTTTTTTTATTTAAATCAATGAAAAATTTATTTGAATCTAACAAAAAAATTTATATAAATCAATTAAAAAAATTTATTTGAATCAAATAAATATTTATTAGCCTCTGAGACAAATATACAATTTTTCTGTGTTTCTATAGTATTTTTTGTATCCGGATATTTACATATACATTAAATTAATATTCATATTAACTATTTTCCAATATTTCTTTATTAATTTTATTCCATATTATTTTTTTTTCCTTTTTTCTTATTTATTTTTCCTCTTCAATAAAATAAAAATATCTTTTTATTTCCTAAAAAAAAAAAATTCTCTTCCGTGTGTTGCTATTTAATTGTGCAAATATAAAAAAATTTAAACTTAAAGATTACAAGTGACAAATGTTTTTTTTTAATAACTCACGGCAATAAAGTTGAGAGATAATTTTTTCAGTTTTCTTTTAACCATCAAACAAAATGGATCGTTGGATTAATAAAGTTGCGATAATAACTGGCGCCAGTTCTGGAATTGGTGAAAATATAGTGAGAGAATTGGTGAAAAAAAATTTGAAAGTTGTTGGTTTAGCGAGAAGAATTGAAAATATGGAAAAAATTAGAATGGATTTAAAAAATGAAACTGGTACATTTTATCCAATAAAATGTGATGTCAGTAAAGAAGAAGATATAATCGAGGCATTTCAATGGGTGGAGAAAAATTTTGAATCTGTTGATATTCTCATTAATAATGCTGGAGTTTATAAAGCAGATTTATGTATTGGTATAAGAGAGTAGAAATTATTTTATACGCTTATTTTTAATTTAATTATTATTTTCAAAAAAAAAAAAAAATTTAATTCGAAGCTTAAAAATAAAATTAGTTATCAAAATTTGTTTTTTAATTTCGTAAAATTATTGTTAAAATTACTAATTTAATTTTTTTTTTTTTTTGATTAATTAATTATTTAATAGTTCTTAAAATAGTTTTAATTTTTTGGGTATTTTTTAAAAATTTATTTATTTAAAATATAATTATTTTAAAAACTATTAAATAATTAATTATTTTTAAAATAATTTTTTTTTTAAATAAATAAATTTTTTTTAAATTTTGCAGAAAGTTCAACAGAAAATTTGAAAAAAGTAATTGATGTTAATTTAATTGCTCCCACAATCTGTACCAGGGAGGCTGTAAAAATTATGAGAGCCAACAATACAGCCGGTCATATTATTAATATCGACAGGTAATTTTTAATTATATAACAGTAAATAAATAATATTTGCAATAATTGAATTTTTATTTTTTCAAATTAAATATATAATAAAATAAAAATATTTTTTTCTTTCTGCTAAATTCGTTTTTTTTAGAGTTTAAAGTAAAAAAAATTGATAGTAAGAACAAATATCATATAAATATATTGCTTTTAGATGAAAAAAAAAAAAAAATTATTTTCATATAATTTTTTATAGACACATTTTTTGATAAGATATTCGCGGATAATATTTTTACTTCTCTATTTGTAGAATTTTAAATTTGATAAAACAAATATAATAAATAAACGATAATTATACATTTTATTTTATAGACAAGAAATTTAATTTTTTTTTAAATTTTAAAATCGTTTTTTAAATTAATGTGTAAAAAAAAAGTTTATTTATACTTTTTGAATAATAAATTTTTTAAATTATTAATTTTTTTTTAGTATTCTGGGACAAAATGTGGGATTCTATAATACCCACGCAGGTGCTATGTACAGTCCGAGTAAATTTGCCTTAAAGGCTGTTAGTCAAATTGTTGAATTGGAACTTGAACATGTCGAATGTTCAACAAAAGTTACTGTAAGTAAATAATTTGTCGAATTATTTATATTTAAACAGTTAAATCTACATTATCATTAATCGGTAAAACAGATTTTCACTGAAAATCAATAGATTTCTTTACCGATTTAAAATTTACATTATCATTAATCGGTAAAACAGATTTTTCACTGAAAATCAATAGATTTCTTTACCGATTTAAAATCTACATTATCATTAATCGGTAAAACAGATTTTCACTGAAAATAAATAGATTTCTTTATCGATTTAAAATCTACATTATCATTAATCGGTAAAACAGATTTTCACTGAAAATCAATAGATTTCTTTATCGATTTAAAATCTACATTATCATTAATCGGTAAAACAGATTTTCACTGAAAATCAATAGATTTCTTTACCGATTTAAAAATCTACATTATCATTAATCGGTAAAACAGCTTTTCACTGAAAATCAATAGATTTCTTTACCGATTTAAAATCTACATTATCATTAATCGGTAAAACAGATTTTCACTGAAATTTTTTTTTTTAATTCAAGACAATTTTTCCCGGATTGGTAAAAACTGAAATGGCACCAGAGATTGCATACAAATTATATCCCTACATTGATTCTAAGGATATTTCTGAAAGTATAATTTATGTTTTATCAACACCTCCACATGTACAGGTAAAAAAAAAACAATTAAAAAATTAATTATCAAATTTCACAATAATAAATTGTGGAAAAATTTAAGAATTTTTTTTTGAATAAAAAATAATCTTATAAAGCAAAAAAAAAAAAAAAAATTATTTTCAGATTAAAGAACTAACAATAACAGCAGTTCCTGGTTACAAACGTCAATAAATTCAAGATTTCATAATTTATTTTTATTTTTGAATTTTTTTTTTATTTTTTATATAAATATTATTTAGTATTAATTAATTATTATTTTGGTTATCTATAATAATAATAATTATTATTAATAATTAAATCAATTAATTTTCAATAACAATTTAATGTTTTCGTTATTATTATTATTATTATTACTATTATTATTATTATTATTATTATTATTATTATTATTATTATTATGAAATTAATAATTAATAAATAATTATTGTTATAATAGTAATTGTTGTATTATACTCAAAAATTATAATTATTATATAATAATTATTACTATATTGGAAATTGTAATTAGTATATATAATAATTATTACTATACTGAAAATTGTAATTATTATATAATAATTATTACCATATTGAAAATTGTAATTATTGCAATAATAATTATTATTATACTAAAAATTGTAATTTTTCATAATAATGAAGTGGAATAATTAATTAATTTAAAAAAATAAAATAAAAATTAAATCTTCAAAAATTTGAATATGTTAAAAAAAAATATATTAATAAAATATATTTGTAAAAATTATTACGCAGGGGATAATAAAAATTGTTTAATATCAAAATTTCACTTGTTCAGTAATTTTCCTAATAATTTACCTATGAAGGAGAAAAGATATAATTTAAAATTAATTAGTTATTAAAAATCTAAAATTTTTTTTAGATAAAATACTACTAATTCCAATTATAATTAATTCTAGAAAATTTTATTTTCTAAATATTCCAATAATAATAAAAATATTTTTATTATTTAAATTTAATTATTTAGATAATAATTTTTTATTATTTTTAAAATTATTTAAATTTTAACAGCAACGCGTTATGAATTTAAAAATTGTTTTTCTTCTAAAATTAAAAATTATTATCTAAAAGAAAAAAAAATAATTTTAATTTTAAATTTCTTTATAGTTTTCATTACTTTTTTTTTTTGGTCCAAAGGTGAAAGTAACAGACGTATAAAAATAACGATTTAAAGAGTCGCAATTTTTCTCATTCGCAATATAAAATAAATACATATATAGATATAGAGAGTCGCGCGCAGTTTACTTTTGACTTTCAATAAAGATGGAACGTTGGATTAATAAAGTGGCCGTTATTACTGGTGCTAGTTCTGGTATTGGTGCAAAAATTGTTAAAGAATTGGTGAAAAAAAATGTCAAAGTTGTGGGTTTGGCGAGACGAATGGAAAATATGGAAAAAATTAAAATTGAATTAAAAGATAAGGGAAAATTATTATTTTTCCCATTAAAATGTGATATTTCAAAAGAAGATGATATTTTAAAATCATTTAAATGGATTGAAGAAAATTTAAAATCTGTCGATATTCTCGTTAATAATGCCGCTGTTAATACAAATGATTTATGTATTGGTAAAAAAATTTATTTCCTAATAAATTCAAATTTATTAAAAAAAAAAAAACAATTTTTTGACTTTGAAATTTAAAAAAAAATTTAATTTAATTTTTATCTATAGAAATTTCAACGGAGACAATAAAAAATGTCTTGGATGTAAATTTAATTGGTCCAACTATTTGCATCAAGGAAGCTGTACGAATTATGAAAGAAAAAAATTCCGCTGGTCATATTTTCAATATATGCAGGTATTTTTTATTTTTAAAAAAATTCTGTCCATTTTTTGAAAATTATTTTTTTAATTTTCCCCCATTTTTTTTTTTTGCCACGCTTTCAGTGTCCTGGGACAAAATATTCAAATATTTCACGGTATAACTTTTAATCTTTATGGACCAAGTAAATTTGCCCTCAAAGCTATTAGCGATGTTGTTGAACTCGAATTGGAAAGTATAAAAAGTCCCGTTAAAGTTACTGTAAGTAATTTTTTGTTTCCTGTGTTAAACGTTTTGTTTTTTAATTAAATTTTTGAAAACATTTTATTTGCATAAATTTAAATAAATTTCTTTTTTCGCACACATTTTTGAGAGATTTATTTTTTGATATTTGCCTTAAAATTTTCTAAATATTAAAAAACAAAAAATTTTATTTTCTGAATAAATTTCTTTTTTGTTGCTATTTATAATTTTTCTAGACCATTTATCCTGGCTTGGTGAAAACTGAAATGCCACCGCAGGCAGCATTCAAAATGTTTCCCTATCTCGATCCGGATGATATTTCAGATGCTGTTATGTATGCTTTATCTACTCCTCCTCACGTTCAGGTAATGAAAAATGTATTTTCATTTTTATTTTCTTTCAATTTTCGAAAAAAAAAGAAAAAAAAAATTCGGCGAAATCAATTTACAGTAATGTATATTATTTTTTGTTAAAATATTAAAAAAAAATTTTTAATAAAAAAATTTTAATAAACAGTTTTTCTATTTAAATATTTTTGTTTTCCAAATACAGCTAATTTTATTTCTATTTTTAAGGTTAAAGAACTGACGATCACACCACTTCAAACTTATCAAAGGAAAACAATGGACAATGCCGAATAAATTATAATTTCAATAATAATTTAATTCATTATTCAGTTTTTGAGGATATTCTATATTTTTTTTTTTATCAATGTTACTTAATAAAGATTATTATTAAAAGAAAATAATTAAAGAAAAGAAAATTATTTATATTTTACTAAATTTTAGGTATTTTTTGTATTCATAATAATGAATAAATTTGTTTAAATTTTTTTTTTATACGTTTCTAGAATGTAAATTAATTAAATTTATTTAAAAAATTTTTTTATTCAATGCTATTTTATTACATAGTTGTAAGACGGGTTTCCTATACTAACAAGGAACACTATACCCAGGTGTACCTCACCGATTTCGCTAATTTTGTGATTGTATGTTGTAGTTCTTTGAAAAATATTCGACACGTATATTTTTATAACATAAGTTTACAGGCCACGGATTATACGACTTTTTCCGACTTTTTTTTCAAAAATACGACTTTTATCGATTTATTTTAATAAAATGCGACATTTTTTTTTTACATTTGAAAAAAAATGTAAATAAAATACATTTTTTTTAGAATAAAATGTATAGATCTTCTTCAGATCTTCTTCAATTCCATTATTTAACAAATTTTGAACTAAAATGATTCTTCACTAAATTAATTATTTTTAATAATTTTAATGAAATACATCACAAATTCAATTATATCAAAATTATTTTTTCAATTAAAATTTTTATGAAATTTAACAATTGTTTATAATTTAAAAAAAAATATAACAACAAAATTGAATTATTTTTTGAAAAATTTCAATTCAAAATAAACATTATTACCCGAAATTTTAATTCAAAATCAATTAAAAATCCAATAATTATCCAAAATTTTTAATTTAAAATTTAATTATTTACCAAGTTTTTAATTGAAAATGAAATAAAATTCAATTATTTTCTAAATTTTCTATTCAAAATTAATTATTTAAATTTTAAATCAAAAATGAACTTAAATTAAATTATTATCCAAAATTTCAATTAAAATTCAATTATTTCCCAAAATTTCCAATTCAAAATCAATTAAAATTCAATTATTTTGAAAAATTTTAATTGAAATTCAATTATTTTCCAAAATTTTAATTCAAAATCAACTAAAATTCAATTATTTTCTAAAATTTCAATTAAAATTCAATTATTTTAAAAATTTTCAATTCAAAATCAACTAAAATTCAATTATTTTCCAAAATTTCAATTGAAAATTAACTAAAATTCAATTATTTTCTAAGATTTTTAATTCAAAATTAATTATTTAAATTTTCAATCAAAAATGAACTTAAATTAAATTATTATCAAAAATTTCAATTAAAATTCAATTATTGACCAAAATTTTCAATTCAAAATCAATTAAAATTCAATTATTTTGAAAAATTTTAATTGAAATTCAATTATTTCCTAAAATTTCAATTAAAATTCAATTATTTTAAAAATTTTAAATTCAAAATCAACTAAAATTCAATTATTTTCCAAAATTTCAATTGAAAATTAACTAAAATTCAATTATTTTCTAAGATTTCAATTGAAATTCAATTATTTTCAAAATTTGCAATTTAAAATCAACTAAAATTCAATTATTTTCAAAATTTTCGATTTAAAATCAATTATTTTCAAAATTTTCAATTCAAAATCAATTATTTTCCAAAATTTTAATTCAAAATCAACTAAAATTCAATTATTTTCCAAAATTTCAATTGAAAATCAACTAAAATTTAATTATTTTCCAAAATTTGCAATTTAAAATCAACTAAAATTCAATTATTTTCAATATTTTCAATCCAAAATCAAGTAAAATTCAATTACTTTCCAAAGTTTCAATTTAATATTAATTGAAATTCAATTATTTTCCAAATTTTCAATTCAAAATCAATTAAAATTCAATTATTTTGAAAAATTTTAATTGAAATTCAATTATTTTCTAAAATTTCTATTCAAAATTAATTATTTAAATTTTCAATCAAAAATGAACTTCAATTAAATTATTATTCAAAATTTCAATTAAAATTCAATTATTTCCCAAAATTTTCAAATCAAAATGAAGTGAAATTCAATTATTTTCCAAATTTAAAATTAAATAAAATTTAATTATTCTCAAAAATTTGAATTCAAAATTAATTGAATTTTCAATCATTTGAATTTAAAAGCATCTAAAATTTAATTATTTCTAAAATTTTCCATCGAAATTTTTTTTTTTGAAATTTACTAATTTCAATTATAACTCTAAGGAAATTCAATTATTTTTAACTATTTTAATAATCTTCTTTGAAATTTCAACTATCTGAAACCATTTTTCAATTAAATATGATTTTCAAATTATTTTATTTTGTCCGCATTTTCTAATAAATTTTTAGTGAAATCATCTCAAAATTTTAATTACAAAACACTTAAAGTTTCAATTAATTTCCAAAATCTCAATTTTAAATCTTTGAAAATTCAATTAAATTTAAAAAATGTTTTCCAAAAATTTTTTTTGATAAATTACTTTTAGTTCTGTAAAATTTAATAATTATTTGAAAATTAACAATATCTTTTGAAATTTAATTATTTCTAAAAATTTCAACTTTAACCCTTCGAAAAGGATTATTATTTGAAAAAAAATTTCTATTTAAAAATCTGTACCTTCTTAAACTCATTTTCAGGGTGGATAAATGTAATTCTAATTGTATAACCGGAAATTGCGAACACTCAGAAATTAGCACTTCTGGAATCTGAGTGGTCGCAATTTTTCGACTGCTCGCATTTTCCGGTTTCACCTTCTTAAACTCATTTTCAGGGTGGGGAAATGTAATGTAATCAAAATTAGTAACCACAGCTAAATTTTTTGCTATGACAACGAAAAAGTTTGCTGTGATAAAGACAATATCGGTCTTAATTTTAAAAAAGAATTACTGTTACAGCAAACTTTTTTTGACCCCACAGCAAATTTGTTCGCTATCCTTATATATTAGCTAACGTAATTTTCTGTGACAGCAGATAGTTTGCTGCCACAGCAAATTTTTTCTATCAGTGAATGATGTAATTTTTAATAGTAATAATAATAATAATATTCAAGTTACATTTATAAACTTTTATGTGTTAAAATATTCAAGAATAATATTGAAAATATTCAATAAAGGTAAAATGAAAAATCAGTGACCTTTTATTACAACAGTACGTTCTCCTACATTAATAATAGTTTCACTTTTTTTTTTGCAATACTACCAAGAAGGACATTTGTAATTATATGCAAAAAATTTCTTGAATTCTTTCAATATTTATAAACTTCTATTTTTAAAAAGAAAAATAAATAAAAACAGTTTTATTTTGTCAAAGTTTAATCACCTTTTTTTTGAAAAAAATGAATTTAAAAAATATTATTTTTGAAAAAAAAATTATATAATTATATATTATATAATTATGTTATAATAATTATTTTAATTTAATCAAAATATATTGTAAAAATATGTAAAAAAAAAAAAAAATTTTCCCAAAAATTTTCAATTTTTTACAAAAAAAAAATGTTATTATTGAGAGCAAAATAAATAATTTTAGCGAGTCTATATAATGGAAAGTTAGGAATGCAATTAAAATTATTTGCTATTTAGCATTTGAAAGGAAATGAGATAAGTTGTGCAGTCTATTTTGTGCAATCGTTTGAGATGGATGCATGGATTGATAAAGTTGCATTGGTAACTGGTGCCAGTGCTGGTATAGGTCAAGAAATTACACGACTTTTAATTGAGGCTGATGTTAAAGTTGTTGGATTGGCACGTGGTATTGATAAAATGCGTGAATTTCAAAAAATTTTAAACAACAACAATAACAGCAACAAAAAAGATCGTTTTTATCCAATTAAATGTGATTTAACAAATGAAAATGATATTTTGGATGCATTTAAATGGATTAAAAATAATTTACAAGGCGTTGATATTCTTATCAATAATGCCGCTGTTCTTGTTAGTGGAATGATAATAGGTATGGTTGAAATATGCTTACATAATTAGATAATTAAAATTTTGCATTAATTATATAATTTACATTAATTTCAAATCAACGTTTTTAAATCGTTAACATTATTAAATCATTAATAATTATTATATAATTAATAATTAATAATTAATAATTAATAATTAATAATTGTAATCAACATTAACAATTTATAATTAACATTAACAATTTATAATCAACATTAATTAATTGTTATAAATATTAATAAGATAAATTAGTTAAATGTAATTAACATTAATTAGAGTAAAAAATTAATTATTTATCTAATATTATTTATAGTAAAAATTAATTAATTATATCTCAAATTAATTACAATATTAAAATTAACGAATTATAATAAACATTATAGAAAAATGTGATCAACATTAATTACAGACAAAATTAATTAATTGTACAATTGATGTTAATTATAGTAATCATATACCGAATTATATAATTAACATTATAAATAATGATTGTAGTCAACATTAATTAATTAATTATAATTAAGATTAATTACAGTAAAGATTAGTTAATTGTAATTAAATTAGTTAATTGACATTAGTTAATAATTGACATTAATTAATGTCAAAATTAATTACTCAATTGCAATTAACATTAATAAGAGCAAAATTTAAATAATTATAATATTAATATTAATTACAGTTAACATTAACGAATTATAATCAACATTATAAATAATAATTTATAATCAAAATTAACATTAATTTGATTAAATATTAATAGTATATATATTAATTAATTGTAATTAATATGGATTAGAGTAAATTCTAATTAATTGTAATTAAAATTAATAAGAGCAAAATTTAAATAATTATAATATTAATATTAATTACAGTTAACATTGACAAATTATAGATAACATAAGAAATAATAATTGTATTCAAAATTTAAATAATTAATTAAATTAGTATTACTTACAGCAAAAATTAATTAATTATATAATTATCAATGATTATAGTAAACGTTATCGAATTATAAGCAACATTATAAATAATAATTTATAGTCAAAATTAATTAATTAATTGCAATTGACTTTAATTACACCAAAAAATAATTAATTACACAATTATTATTAATTATAGTAAACATTGACGAATTATAGATAACATAAGAAATAATAATTGTATTCAAAATTTAAATAATTAATTAAATTAGTATTACTTACAGCAAAAATTAATTAATTAATTACAATTAACATTAATTTGATTAAATATTAATTATACAATTAATATTAATAATAGTAATTATTTACGAATTTAAAATTAATTAATTAATTGCAATTAATATTAATTAAAGTATATATATTAATTAATTGTAATTAATATGGAATAGAGTAAATTCTAATTAATTTTAATTAAAATTAATAAGAGCAAAATTTAAATAATTATAATATTAATATTAATTACAGTTAACATTGACGAATTATAGATAACATAAGAAATAATAATTGTATTCAAAATTTAAATAATTAATTAAATTAGTATTACTTACAGCAAAAATTAATTAATTATATAATTATCAATGATTATTGTAAACGTTAACGAATTATAATCAACATTATAAATAATAATTTATAGTCAAAATTAATTAATTAATTGCAATTGACTTTAATTACACCAAAAAATAATTAATTACACAATTATTATTAATTATAGTAAACATTAACGAATTATAAATAACATAAGAAATAATAATTGTATTCAAAATTTAAATAATTAATTAAATTAGTATTACTTACAGCAAAAATTAATTAATTAATTACAATTAACATTAATTTGATTAAATATTAATTATACAATTAATATTAATAATAGTAATTATTTAAGAATTTAAAATTAATTAATTAATTAATTGCAATTAATATTAATTAAAGTATATATTAATTAATTGTAATTAAAATTAATAAAGAGTAAATAATAATTAATATTAATTAGATAATAAACTTTAATTAATTGAAAATTGACGATAATAATTATTTGTTTTTGATTTAGATGGTAAAACGGAAGATTTCCGAAGAACAATGGAAATGAATGTTATTGCTCCGGCAATATGCATCAGGGAGGCTGTGAGGTCCATGAGAGAAAGAGGAGTGAAGGGTCATATCATTAATATCAACAGGTATAATTGAATTAATTGATCTGAATTGGTCATTGATTGTTGATTGACAAATTATTCTACCCGCCGATTTTGAATTCAAGTGCTTTTAATAAATGATTTTCAATTGTTAATTTTATCAAAAAAAATATCTCCCTTCATTGCAAAATTATAATGTAATGTGATTTTTATGTTCCGTGCACCCTAAATTTTTTTTTTTTTTTTTTAATATCATTTTTTTCGTTTTCGTGGAATTAAAAAAAAATGTTTAGGTGATCCGGATTTCAAAAATTTATATTAATTTATTTATTAAAAAAAAAAAATTTCAGTATATTTGGACACGAAGCAGTTCACGTCCCATCTGTCTATTCGAATCTTTACGCTCCTAGTAAATTTGCTCTGACAGCAATGAGCCAACAGGTGCAGGCTGAATTAAAAGATATAGAAAGTGGGATTAGACTTACAGTAAGATTTATTATTAAAAGTTAATTATTATTGCATATTAAGAATTTATTTAATTTATATAAAATATAATTTATTTATATATTAAATTTATAAATGGGCTTATACCAAAGAAATATAGGTATACCAATAAATAATATATAAAGAATATAGAGTCCATTTTTCATCGTGTGGATTAAATCTTTAATCTTCCGTGAGGTTAAGGGCAATGGTTTATATTTTGCGTCTGCGCAGAATGTTTGCATACAGCTACTGCGCAGACGCAGAATATATCTACTGCGCCTTTTGCCTCATGGAAGATAAAATTTAATCCACACGGTGAAAACGAGCTCATACTGTATAAAGTAAATAAGTTATAAAATTTACATTTGTCATAGTTTACTATTTTCTATATTATTATTATTATTTTAATAAGTTTTATTGTTAAAATAATAAAAATAATTATTATTTTGCTTCCTCGTGGAGGAAGCTTTGTAGTCCTTTCGTTTATAAAACTTTTCAAAGTGGCGGATACAAATTTTTTTCTTTATAGAAACATGTTATATGAGATCCTGATCAATTGTCCGGATGTATGTATGTGTGTGTGTATGTGTGTGTGTGTGTGTGTGTGTGTGTGGATCCCTTTTTTGTTTAGAAGATAACTTTAACAGGTTTTAATGGATTTAGATAAAATTTAGTAGGCTCATTTATCATATTAATACCTTAAATCTGACCAAAGGATTTTAAAAAATACTCCAAAAAAAAAATTTTATGGTCTTTTTTCCAAAAATTTTTTTTTAATCGAAAAAATTTTTAAATAGAAAAATTTAATGTTATATATAATAAAATCGTATTCTTTACGTCAAGACGAATCGATCGATATATATAAAGTATTCATTTGAGGTAAATTTAAAGAATTAAAGAAAGTTAAAAAATCAAAAATTCACATTTTGTCAATAAAATTTTGCTGTCTCCACGAGGAAGCAAATTTTTTTGCTGATCGTAAAGAGGAAGCAAAATGTTCATGTAATGAACATCTGAATTTACAACTTTTTGGTAAGTTTTTTTTGCTTTTGGATGCGTTTTTGGTGGTAAAAAGGGTCTTCCTCTACTCGGATCTGGGTAGGCTCATTTATCATATTAATATCTCAAATCTGACCAAAGGATTTTTAAAAATACCTCAAAAAAAAAATTTTATCGTCTTTTTTCCAAAAATTATTTTTGGCGGTATTCCCGAACGATTATCTCGCGAATTTAATTATTCGAAAATTTTTCCAAAATATTTTCTAGTTTAGCTCAGCATCCGCTGGACCAATCAAAAAGTGCGCCATACATTTTTTGTTCGAAACTTTTTCCCTATTTTATTGGTGGTATTCCCGAACGATTATCTCGCGAATTAAGTTTTTCGAAAATTTATCCGAATTTGTTTTCTAATTTAGCTCAGCATCCGCTGGACCAATCAAAAAGTACGCCATACATTTTTTGTTCGAGACTTTTTGCTCAATTTTTTGGCATTATTCCCGAGTCATTATCTGGCAAATTTTTTTTTTCGAAAATTTTTCCCAGTTTTAGTGAGTGTAGCTCAGCATCCGCTGGACCAATCGAAAAGTGCGCCATACATTTTTTGTTCTGAACTTTCTTCTAATCACTATAGCGGTATTCCCGGAAGATTATCTAGCGAATTTAATTTTTTGAAAATTTTTCAAAATTATTTTTGAGTGCAGCTCAGCATCCGCTGGACCAATCAAAAAGTGCACCATACATTTATTGTTCGCTACTTTTTGCTAAAGAATTTGGCGGTATTCCCGAACGATTATCTCGCGAATTTAATTTTTCGAAAATTTTTGCAAAATATTTTTGAGTGTAGCTCAGCATCCGCTGGACCAATCAAAAAGTGCGCCATACATTTTTTGTTCAGAACTTTCTTCTAATCACTATGGCGGTATTCCCGAACGATTATCTAGCGAATTTAATTTTTCGAAACTTTTTCCGAATTTGTTTTCTAGTTTAGCTCAGCATCCGCTGGACCAATCAAAAAGTGCGCCATACATTTTTTGTTCGAAACTTTTTCCCTATTTTATTGGTGGTATTCCCGAACGATTATCTCGCGAATTAAGTTTTTCGAAAATTTTTCCGAATTTGTTTTCTAGTTTAGCTCAGCATCCGCTGGACCAATCAAAAAGTGCGCTATACATTTTTTGTTCAGAACTTTCTTCTAATCACAATGGCGGTATTCCCGAAAGATTATCTAGCGAATTTAATTTTTTGAAAATTTTTCCAAATTACACAGGCCTACAAAATTTTGGATTTTGTCAGACCCAGAAACTGGAATAGTCATTTTCGATGTAATTTGTCACGCTGAATCCAAAAATGACAAGGAAATTACTCTATCACGTCAGCATTTTGAGATAATCTAACCTAAAAGCGTAAAAAATGAAGTTTTGGTAATATTTGACACTCTATAAAATCGACAAAAATTTTTTTAATCATTGGTCCAAATTTCAAAAGAAAGTATTATATTTCTCCTTTCAAAATTTTCTAGGTTCGATCTGATCCAATTTTTTTTTCTCTGAGATACAACCATTTAAGTTTTACATTACATGAACTAAAATCCCTTTCAAAAAGAAAAATAAATTGCAAAGTACTCATATCACTGAAACTTATTTCTCGGGTATTTTTGAGGTCGCTAATTACGAATCTGACGTCAGATTTTTGAATTTCAAAATGCCGAATCCCATATGGCGGACACTTTTTAAAAAATTTACCGAATTCGCTTGTCATTCATTACTTGGGGGTTTTTAGGGTCGCTGATTACGAATTATGTGTCAGATTTTTGAATCTGATATCACATTCGTAATTAGCGATTTTAAAACCCCCTGAGTAACAATTTTCAGTGCCATGAGTACTTCGCAATTTATTTTTCTTTTTTAAAGGGATTTTAGTTCATGCAATGTAAAACGCAAATGGCTCTATCTCAGAGAAAAAAAATTGGATCAGATCGAGCCAAGAAAATTTTGAAAGGGGAAATATAATAATTTCTTTTGAAATTTGGACGAATGATTAAACAAAATTTTTTCGATTTTATAGAGTATCAAATATTGCCAAAAACGGCATTTTTTACACTTTTAGGTTAGAATATCTCAAAATGCTGACGTGATAGAGCAATTTGCTTGTCATTTTTGGATTTAGCGTGACAAATTACATCGGAAATGACTATTCCGGTTTCTGGGTCTAAAATTTGTAGGCCTGTGTTATTTTTGAGTGCAGCTCAGCATCCGCTGGACCAATCAAAAAGATCGCCATACATTTTTTGTTCAGAACTTTCTTCTAATCACTATGGCGGTATTCCCAAACGATTATCTAGAGAATTTAATTTTTGAAAATTTTTCCGAATTATTTTTGAGTGTAGCTCAGCATCCGCTGGACCAATCAAAAAGTGCGCCATACATTTTTTGTTCAGAACTTTCTTCTAATCACTATGGCGGTATTCCCGAACGATTATCTAGCGAATTTAATTTTTCGAAAATTTTTCCGAATTTGTTTTCTAGTTTAGCTCAGCATCCGCTGGACCAATCAAAAAGTGCGCCATACATTTTTTGTTCGCTACTTTTTGCTAAAGAATTTGGCGGTATTCCCGAACGATTATCTCGCGAATTTAATTATTCGAAAATTTTTCCAAAATATTTTCTAGTTTAGCTCAGCATCCGCTGGATCAATCAAAAAGTGCGCCATACATTTTTTGTTCGAAACTTTTTGACTATTTTTGCTTCCTCGTGGTGGAAACTTTGTAGTCCTTTCGTTTATAAAACTTTTCAAAGTGGCGAAAACAAATTTTTTTCTTTATAGAAACATGTTATATGAGTTCCTGGTCAATTGTCCGGATGTATGTATGTGTGTGTGTGTGTGGATCCCTTTTTTGTTTAGAAGATAACTTTAACAGGTTTTTTTGGATTTAGATAAAATTTGGTAGGCTCATTTATCATATTAATATCTCAAATCTGAACAAAGGATTTTTAAAAATACCTCAAAAAAAATTTTTATCTTCTTTTTTCCAAAAATTATTTTTTAAATCGAAAAAATTTTTAAATGGAAAAATGTAAGGTTATATATAATAAAATCGTATTCCTTACGTCAAGACGAATCGATCGATATATATATAAAGTATACATTTGAGGTAAATTTAAAGAATTAATGAAAGTTAAAAAATCAGAAATTCACATTTTATCAATAAAACTTTGCTTTCTCCACGAGGAAGCAAATTTTTTTGCTGATCGTAAAGAGGAAGCAAAATGTTCATGTAATGAACATCTGAATTTACAACTTGTTTAGTAGTTATTAATATAATAATAATAATAATTATTATTATTATTATTATATTATTATAAAAATTATTATAATTAAAAACTAACAAATTAAAATAATTTCTTTACGTATTACCATTTTATTTTTAAAAAAAATTAATTTCATAAAATAATTCATAATTTCAGAATTTAAGCCCAGGCTTGACGAGAACTGATATGACAACAAAATTGTGTTCAATGTTTCCCTATGTTGAAGCAAAAGACATTGCCCAAGGTGTTATTTATGCTTTATCAGTTCCCTCTCAAGTTTTGGTAAGTCGATCTCTAATTATATTATTTTATTGTAAATTAAATATATATATATTATTTTTAATATTAATAATCATTTGAAAATTAACATATGTGACGTTCCACGAGAGAAGGGACCTTACGTAAAAAAATAATGTTAGGTTATGTTTTTAATTTTTGTATATTGAAAATAATACAAACGAATACTTTCTCATTTATGATGAGAATGTAAAAATTAATAATTAATTAATTTATAATAATAATGAATAATAAAAATTATCGCTAAACATAACCTAAAAATTTTTTTTTGAAGGTCCCTTTTTTCGTGGAGTGTCACATATATATATGTTAAAATTTCGGGCATTTTATTTTAAATTGTTAAAGTAATAGTCTCAGATATTTTTTTCTATTTTAACAATTTATATGAAAATTTATAAAAAAATTAAATATAATAAATAATTGGAAATAAAGGGCCCCAGCCAAACGCCCTTTACAGTGAGGTACAACCTTTTTTTCACTACTGTTTTTAATAACCCATGCAGTGAATTTAATATTTACTGTATGTGTTTTTTAAATACAGTTTATTTACCTCTCCTTAACAAAAGGAGAAAAGGGACCTTATGGTAAAAAAAATTTTTAGGTTATGTTTAGTGATATTATTATTATTTTTATTATTATTAAATAATTATTAATAATATTTCGTATTAAGAGTTTATATTTGTGTATTTTCATTTCAAAAATTACAAACATAACCTAAAATTTTGTTATCATAGAGTCCCTTTTCCCATGCAGCATCACATATAATAAAAAAATAAATAAAAATAAATTTGAGACTTTTATTTTAATATCAAATTGAAATGCCCTACTTAAAATATTATTAAAAATCAAAAAAAAAAAAATTGTTATTAAAAATTACTTAGTAATATTAATAAATTTTATTTATTTTAGGTGAGACAATTGTCAATTACTCATCAAGCTGAGTAAAAAGTATATTATTTTAATAAAGAAAGAAAATATATTTTCTTTAATTAAATATTAATTTTTCAAAAAAATTGTATTGATTTTTAATCAATAAAAAACGTGTAATCTCAATGTTTTGTTAATAATAGTACCACAAAAAAGATTTACCTGGAACAGCGAAAAAGTTTCACTAGAATAGAATTTTTGTTTTTTACTTATTTCAATTAAATCTTTCGCTATTCTAGTGAAACAATTTCGCTGTTTCAGGAAAATATTTTTTTCGGTGTAGTTGAAATAGAAACGTCCACATTGAGTTCTTGTGCTCATGCGCAATTGGTTAAAAGTTTCAAGGTCACGAAACGACCATTATAGCCATCTTCGTCAAATTTAAAATGCGCCAATAAAATGAGCGAGGGGATTTCATGTAGGCGTTTCCCTTTCCAAATTAGTATCGATTATTGTTTGCAAACTAAACTCTAAAATAACCTAAAAATTAAATTAAAAAAATATAAATTATAAATTATATAAATATAAATTATAAAAAATATAAATAATAAAATAAAATTTAAATAAGTATATTTAATAATCTAAAAAATTTCTATTAATTTAAATTATAAATTCTGTTAATAAAATAATATAAGAAAGTTAAATCGTATTGAAAAAGCAAGAAACCTATGTTACGCATTTGAAGAGCAAAAAAAAAAAAAATTAGAATCAGATGTTGAGACACAAAACTTTTTACTTTATGATTTTTAATAGACTTCAAGAAGTCTTTTGCATAGAAGCGAAGAGGTACTTATATCTCTTAAGAAACTTTTTTGTAATCAAAGATTCTTTTATGACAAACTTGCTTTAAAAAAAAAATTATCTAAAACATATATTTACAAGGGTTTTTATAAAATCGTTAATTTGCAAAATTCAACGTTTTTTTTTATCAGAATTTTATTTTTAATGTTTTTTGTTTAAAATTTCAGTGTCAAAAAATAATAATAATTATTATTAATATTGCAAATTAACAAAAAAAACAATGAAAAATAATGTTAATAAAAAAAATAATAAAAGTGTGCAATAAAAAAAATTATTTTTTTAAAATACCAATTAGCGAAATTTTTTTTTTGTTTACTTTTTAAGATAAAAGCAAATTGTTTCTTTTTTCAAAAACACGATTTTTTGTAGAAATTTTTTTTTTCGTTTTATTTTAACGTGGAATAAAAATTCTAAAAAAAAAAATTGGAAGCGAATTTTGTGAGAAATAAAATTTTATTGGTTCTGAATGTATATATGTATATATATATATAGGTATATATAAATACGTACGTGGTGAAAAAAGAAAGAAATGAGGTAATTGGCTTTGAAATTCATGGCAAGCGAAAAAACAATAGATGTGCTTAATTTGCATTCAAACAGAAATCGCATGAAATTGACAAGGCCATTGCGAATGTCACTGTCAGAGCTTTCTCACTCGTCGTTCGCGACATTTCTATATATATATATATATTGATAGTTGAAAAAAAATCAGAGAAAATTCATTTCCCCATAAAATGCAAGTGCTCGAATTTATTTTTTTTCTCAAAATCAATATACATAAAAATAAAAAATCTAATTCACATCTATTGTTAAATAGAAAATAATTTTAAAAATAAATTTAAAACAAAATTTATAAAAAAAAATTTTTTTTTTAATAGTTAACAAAAATTTAAGTAATAAGTAGAAAAAAAAATTTAATTAAAAATAAAAACATAAAAAATTGAACTAAAAAGTAAAAAAAAATAAATCTAGTAATAATAGAAGCAAAAAAAAAAATTAATTAAAAGAAGATTAAAAATAGTGACATAGATAAAAATAAATTATTAAATAAATTAAAAATAGAGAACAATTTTTTTTTTGAATATACAAAAGAATTGCAAATTTTTTTTTTCATACATGAAAATTTAGCAAATATTGATAAGAAAGAAGAAGAAAAGCATGCGAAATAAGATAAGAGAAGCAAAATCATGAACAGCAATGACCTCTATATTGAAACGACTTTAAAAATTGATAATCAATTGTAAACGTGTATAGAAAATATTTTTTTTTTTTTTTTTTTTGCAATTGTGGACAAAATTTGTAATAATTTTTTAAAGACATTAAAAAAATTTTAAATATGTGAAAATTTTTATAAAAAAAAATTCTGATAAAATTTTTAAGAATTTTATTACAAATTTTGCAGAAAGAAGTAAAAAAAAATATTTATATATATATATGGAGTAAAAGAAATAAGGAGCCTTGTAATATAGTCGATGTAGCTTTTTTTTTTTACTCGTGTGTGACTCATATTAACAGTCTCACTGAGTACAGAACAACTTGTATTACTATATAATATCAGTTGCAAGCTGAGCGTCAAAAGATTGTCACCTAAAATGGATCGTTGGTACCAAAAAATAGCAGTTGTTACTGGAGCAAGTTCTGGTATTGGTGCAACAATTTCAGAAGGTAACAATCATATATATTTTATATAATATAAAAAAAAAATTAGCATTTAATTTCAAAAATTAAAATTTTAATAAAAGGAAAAAAAAGAAAAAATAACATTTTCAAAAAAAATTACTGTATTAAAATTATTATTAATTATTATTTTTATTATTAATTAAATTAGTAATTAAAATGAGTTAATAATTAAATAAAGAATTGTTTAAAAAGAATAAATTTCTCAATTTTGATAAAAAATTTTATAATAAAATAAAATGTTAATAAATACTTTTTTCTAAATTTGTTTTTTTTTTTCAATTAAAATTATAGAAGTTTTTAATAAAACCCACGTCATAATTAATATTGAAATAAATGGTAAAAAAAATTTTTAATAAAATATTAATTAAGAAATTTTTATAACTGATTCAATTTTCAATTAAAAAAATTTAAATCCTATTATAATTACATATAATATAAATTATATATATATATATATGACGTGCTCTGAAGAAAGGGACCTTAGAAGCAAAAAAATTATAGGTTATGTTTTAAAATTACGAAACTTTTAATCAAGGTAAAATTATCGTAAACATAACCTATAATGTGTTTGCTTCTAAGGTCCCTTTTCTTCAGAGCGTGTCACATATAATAATAATAATATTAATAATAATAATAATAATAATAATAATGTAATAATAATAATAATAATAATAATAATAATAACAATAATAATATTAATAATAATTTTATAAAATTTATAATTATTATAAATTATAAGTATCATAATATTATTATAATTATAATAAATAATATAATATTATTTTAAATAATAATTATATAATAGTAAAAATTATCGAATTTTCAATTTAAGTTCAAAAATTTTTATTAATATTATTTATTAATTTAAAACTTCAATAAATAATATAAATAAATTTATAAAATTAATAACTAATTTAATTTTCAATAAAAATTATTGAATATTTAAATTCTATAAAAAATATAAATCAAAAGTACGAAAAAAAAAAATAAATAAAATAAAAGAGATTTTAGTTTGCGAATATTTTTTTTGTTTCAAGGTCTGTTAAAGGCTGGTTTAAATGTCGTGGGATTGGCGAGAAAACTGGATAAACTTCACGAGATACAAAATAGAGTAAAAAGTGAAAAAAGTAAATTTTATCCAATTCAATGTGACGTGAGAAAGGAGGAAGATATCCTGAGGGCTTTTCATTGGATTGAGAAAGAACTTGGAGGCGTCGATGTTCTCGTTAACAACGCGGGAATTATTCTCAACGAACCTATTATTGGTAAATTGACAAGTCGCAAATTTTAATGAGACTTAATTTTCATTGCGCACAAAAATTTCTTTGCACAATATACCAATATACTAACAATTATATGAACTAAATTTATTTTGAATTTATTTTTTTAAATTAAATTATAAAAAAAAAAAAATTATATATTTTTTAAAAAAAAAAAATGTATTTCTTTTTTTGAATTTTAAATTTGCAAAAAAAAACAGAAAGAAAAATAAATATTTACACACACAAAAAAATAGTGAATTTTTAAAAATAACTTAGGTTCAAAAGTTCAAAATTAATGCAAAATTGTTAGGAAATGAAAGATTGAAAACACTGATTAAAATACAGAAAAAAAAAGAATTGTCATAAATTTTCAAATTTATAAAAATTCAAAGAATTTTCTAAAATATATAAAAAAAAAATTTTTGAAATCTTTATGAATCTTGAAAAAGTAACAGCGATATAAAAAAATTAATTAAAAAACTATTACTTGTAAACTAATGAATATGAAAGTTAATGAATCTTTTGAACCGGACATTAATTTTCAAATTCTTCATTTCCATAAATCTTGTATAATTTACATTAAATTATAATATTTTTTTTTTTTGTAAAAAAAGTTAATTTTACAAAAAAAAAACAGAAAAATTATTATTAACATTATGTAAATCTGGAACAACAAAAATAGCCTTCGATTATAAATCAAATACATTCATAATTAGAATGTCACTTCCGTTGTTTTAATTAGTATAATAGTCGTGTGAGAATTTATTTTCTTTCTGTTTATATATATTGACCTTTCAAAATGTTTTCAGAGAATTTTTTTTTTTAAAAACTATTTTTTCATAAATGTAAAATAGTTTAGAAAAATATAATTTATCGTCAATTAAAATTATTTTATAATTGTAAATAATTTTTCAATTAAAAATATTAATTAAATTTTTCTAAATCAAAAATATTTTGTAATATTTAAAAAAAAAATTTGTATAAAAATAAATTATTGATTTTTTTATGCTATTATTATTAATTTACAAAAAAAAAAAAAAAAAAAAAATTACAGATGGTTCTACAGACGGTTTTCAAAAAATATTGGACGTTAATGTTTTGGCAGTTGCAATTTGCACAAGAGAAGCGACAAAATCAATGAGGAGACGTCGATTTCCTGGCCACGTCATTACAATCAATAGGTGATTTAATTTTGCAAAATAAATTTAAATTACATAATACACTACAAAAGCAAAATTACAACGTAGCTATTTTAAGAGATAATTTAAAATAAATTTTACACACGTATATAAAATAATTCATTAAATTCAATTATTTTTCTAATAATTTTTAAATAAAATCTATTATTTTGTTAAATTTTTTAAAATTTTTATTATTTTATTTTTAAATAATTTAACTAATTATTAATTAGAAATTAATTGATTTTAGTTTCGCCGGTCATTATGCGGAAAGCATTAAATTGCCAGTTAGTTTATATTGTGCCAGTAAATATGCAATAACAGGAATGATTGAATCTTTGCGAAATGAATTGTCAGCAATAAAGGCAAATATAAAAGTTACTGTAAGTATTAGAAAAAAAAAGGAAATTTTCAATTTATTTACTATTTATTAAATTATTTTACTGTACTTTAACTGGAAATTTGAATCTTTAAATACGAAATTTCATAAAAATCTAACATTTTTTTTCATTATTTCGTTTAGTATTTTGAATTTTGAAAAACCAACCTCAAATTCGTGATCAGCGACCCCAAAAACCCCCGAGTAATAAATTTCAAGTGATTTACAACAATATAAAAAAAATTCTTTCGACATATTGGATCCGCCATTTTGAATTTTGAAAAACTAACCTCAAATTCGTAATCAGTGACCCAAAAAACCCCCGAGTAATAAGTTTCAAGTGATTTAGAAGAATTTAAAAAAGATTTGTTCGCCATATTGGATCCGCCATTTTGAATTTTGAAAAACTAACCTCAATTTCGTGATCAGCGACCCCAAAAGCCCCCTTGTAATAAGTTTTAAGTGATTTACAACAATATAAAAAAAATTCTTTCGCCATATTGGATCCGCCATTTTGAATTTTGAAAAACTAACCTCAAATTCGTAATCAGTGACCCAAAAAACCCCCGAGTAATAAGTTTCAAGTGATTTAGAAGAATTTAAAAAAGATTTGTTCGCCATATTGGATCCGCCATTTTGAATTTTGAAAAACTAACCTCAATTTCGTGATCAGCGACCCCAAAAGCCCCCTTGTAATAAGTTTTAAGTGATTTACAACAATATAAAAAAAATTCTTTCGCCATATTGGATCCGCCATTTTGAATTTTGAAAAACTAACCTCAAATTCGTAATCAGTGACCCAAAAAACCCCCGAGTAATAAGTTTCAAGTGATTTAGAAGAATTTAAAAAAGATTTGTTCGCCATATTGGATCCGCCATTTTGAATTTTGAAAAACTAACCTCAATTTCGTGATCAGCGACCCCAAAAACCCCCTTGTAATAAGTTTCAAGTGATTTACAACAATATAAAAAAAAATTCTTTCGCAATATTGGATCCGCCATTTTGAATTTTGAAAAACTAACCTCAAATTCGTAATCAGCGACCCCAAAAACCCCCGAGTAATAAGTTTCAAGTGATTTAGAAGAATTTAAAAAAGATTCGTTCGCCATATTGGATCCGCCATTTTGAATTTTGAAAAACTAATCTCAAATTCGTAATTAGTGACCCAAAAAACCCCTAGGTAGCAAGCTTAAAGTAAATCCGTTAATATTTATAAATTTTTGCATCTCATAAAATCCGCAATGTCTTTTTGAGGTTAGAAAAAAATTCTGCCGGTTAAGGTCATTAGATTCAACACTAAAAACAGTTTTCGATTTCAGCACGCGCAGGATTTTCCTCCACTTAGGGATTATATAAAAACTCTTAACCAATTTTTTATACGCCTTTTACGTTTAATAGTCAATTACATTTTTTGTTTATAAAAATATCATCGGTGTTTTAGTGGTAGAATGCTCGTATTTTACGTCGAGTGTACTTTAAATTAATCCCTAATCGGCTTTTTATACTTTTTTTGTTATATTTCTCATTCTAAAAGCAGCTATAGGGTTATTTGCTTACAATCTGCGAACTTATGATCAACTTATCCGTACCTATAAAGCATGCACACATTTATAACTCTCGTTCTTATTTGACCGAAAAAAAAAATAAACTTAATTTTTATACGGAACAATTTTTCCAGCCTGTCCACAACAGTGGTGCCAGGCTGCACACCAATTCCACTCCCACCATGCCGCCCGTGCGCCTCCCACCATACGGCCACACACACAAGTGTAAAGCGTGCGCTTACTCTTGTAGGTGTGCCTATTTTTCGTTTTCCTCATATTCGCCCGCTTCAGCTGAGCGACTATGCCTGTTTTTACCGACAGCCGGTTAATTTCACGCGCGAACTTTTAAATTCTTTATAATATAAATATACTTTTATTAATGTTTTTATAGATATTTATTAATAAATAATTAATAAATGATTAGTAATTAATTAATAAATAACCGATAAATAATTATTACATAATTAACAATAATTTTTAATTAATAAATTAATATTTAATAATTATTAATTAATAAATAATTATTGAATAATTATTAATCAATAAATTATTGTTAAAATAATTGTGCTTGTACAATTATTTATTTATAATTTATTGATTAATAATTATTCAATAATTATTTATTAATTAATAATTATTAAATATTAATTTATTAATTAATAATTAATAAATGATTAGTAATTAATTAATAAATAACCGATAAATAATTATTACATAATTAACAATAATTTTTAATTAATAAATTAATATTTAATAATTATTAATTAATAAATAATTAATAAATAATAATTGAATAATTATTAATCAATAAATTATAAATAAATAATTGTACAAGCACAATTATTTTAACAATAATTTTACATTTTGGTAATATTAATTACAATAAATACTTAAAATTACTCTATGTAAAAAAATGTTTTTTTAAAATCATGAGATTATAATTATATAGAAATTATATTACTATTATTATTAACCGACAATTTTTATTTCGTGTTTAAATTAATTTTCAACATTTTTTAAAAAAGTAATCAAATTTTTTTAAAGTGTACACATTTTACACATAATTAAATGATATATTATTAAACATGTAGATACGTGTACAATGTGTGAGTAAAAAAAGGTCATTTTTCGAAAAATATAAAGTCTGGTTTAAAAGCACTTTTGATTTATCATTAATATATATATATATATATATATATATATATATATATATATATATGAATGTTCTACGCAATAATGCTGGCGGCGGCAGTGTTTTGTTTACATCTTGCACGTTGCGGAAAAGAAAACGCCGGCGCACAGCAATCGAGACTCGCAGCTCTTACAGTTTAGATATCGAAAATATCATCTTTTTTCGTGAAACATTTCCTGCAGTAATTAGTTGTTGTTGTATTAAAATATTTTCTGCCCTTATTCTTAGTGTGAAATTGTGTAAAATTGTGTGGAATTTTGTGAAATCGTGTCGTTCAGTTCTGGCGATAAGGATTAATTTTTTCTTCGCTTCCTGGTTGAAATTTCATTTTCATTTTATATTCGCTCGGTGAGTCTTTTAATACTTCTTTCTCAATTTTCCCAATTTTTTATTAAAATATGGATCCCGAAAACGGACATAATGCTCAAAACGAAGGAGAGCCGCCAAAAAAAGTTCAAAGAAAACCCACGTGTTTTCAAGAATCTTGGTTTGACGAATTTCCTTCGTGGAGAGAATGGGTGTTTAGAGTAGAAAATGATGATAAAAAATTTCAATGTAGAATTTGTGATAAAATTTGTACTTCTGGTAAATTTCACATTCAGCGACATGAATCAACTTTGGTGCATAAAAATAATTTTGATATTTTTGAAAAATCTAAGCCTTATAGATTAAATTTATTTGAAAAAAAGGAAACTTTTCTAAACACCCATTCCGCGGATTGTCAGGAAGTTGCAGCAATTGATAATTCAAATAATGTAGATTTGCTAGAAAATGAAGTCAGTTTTTTTGAAAATACTTTAAATTTAAATTCTTCAAATTCTAATTTAACTTTTGAGCAAAAAGTAAAAGAAACGGAAATTAAAATTACGGCTTTATTTGTTGAAAATAATATACCCTTCAGTTTATCTTCAGAGTTGATTAAATTTTTTCAAAGTTTAGATCCTATCGTTTTTAAAGCTGTTAAATTGGCGCGTACAAAAATGACTTCAATCGCGAATAATGTTCTTTGTAAGGTTGAAGAAAAACGTATTACGGACGTTTTACAAAATCAACCATTTTCAGTTTACGTAGATGAAGCTAGTGATATAAGTCACGAAAAGTGGTTACCGATTTTAGTTCGGTATGTGGAACCAAGATCGTTGGAAATCAGAGTAGAATTGCTGCAACAAATTAATGTAGATGCGACGGATTGTTCTTCTTCAGCGTTGTTTGAAACTTTTGAAGGTGCTTTAATTAAAAAGCAAATTCCTTTAAAAAATATTGCAGGTTTAGCAACTGACAATGCCGCGGTCATGACTGGTCCTGAAAATTCTTTTCAAAGTAGATTAAAACTAAAAAATCCTTATTCAAAATTTCTTCCGTGCGTAGATCATTCCCTTAATCTTGTTGCTCAACGCGCATCATCAAAAATCCCTACAGTGGATCATTTAATTTTAGCTATTCCAGCTTTTTTAAATGTGAGCCCAAAAAGAACAGCAATTTATCGTGAAGTTGTTGAAGAATTGGGAGAAACCTTTCAAAAAATTCCTAGTCACTCTGACACACGTTGGCTTGTTCGTCATAATTGCATTGTAGTTATTCTTAAAAATTGGGAATTAATCATCAAATTTCTCATGCTTGTCGAATCGGAAGACAATACTCAAAAAGCGAAAAATTTACGAGAGTTAATGCAGGACCCGTTAACTTTAGCGTATTTTCTTTTCTTAAAATTCACATTAAATACCTTTAATTCTTTCAATGCCACGTTTCAAAAGCGTGAAACTTTGATTCAGGAACTTCAGCCTCAATCAGCCGGTTTTTTATTTTGGATTTTGGAAAAATATTTAAAAAGTGCATTTCTTCAAACACCTACAATATTTTTTCAGTCAGTTAGAGGTATAAAGTTTGAAAAAACTTTTAATCAAAAGGCAGTCGAAAATATTAATATTGGTAATGAAACGCGCGAATATTTAAATTTACAAATTTCAAATGGAAATTTGAATAATGATCAAGTTGACGAATTTTTTAAGAACGTTTTAGAATTTTACGTGACAGCAAGTTACGAAATAATCAACCGATTGCCTTTTGATGATCAGTTTCTTTCTTGCGTTTCAGTTTTTAAAGCACAGGAATTTCTTAAAGGTGACAGGGATTTAACGATTCAAAAAGTTTTCAAGATTGTATGTGATTTGAATGTGCAATTGGATATGTTTGAGTTACGTAAAGAATGGCATGATGTGTATGATTTCTCTTCTGATGAAAAAGAAGAATTATCTAAATTATCTTTCGATGATATGTGTATCAAGATTTGTCTTTCTGCAAAAGGTGATGGTAGTTTAAAATTTCCGAATTTAACAAAAATTTTGAATTTAGTGAGGACGCTTCCCCATTCTAATGCTGAGGCTGAAAGATCATTTTCTATGCTCAAAGAAGCAAAAACTAGTAAAAGAAATCGTTTGGCGGTCGATACTCTTAATTCAATTTTGGTTGTCAGATCAGCATTAAAAGCTCGCAATGAAACTGCAAGAACAATGCAAATTTCAATGGCTCATTTACAATTAATGAATCAAAATATTTATACTTCTAATGTAGTTGATAGAAGGGCAGAAAAATTAAGGTTATTTACAGTCGCTTAGGTTTCTTCTCTAATTTCTTTTGTCTGGTGACAAACTATTTGAAATTAGAAAAATAAATTTAACAATAATTTCTTCTGTTTCAGAGATTCGATTGTAGACATGCACACATGGACAGTACAAGGAGAAAAAAATTAATTTTTGAAAAAATAACATTTTTTATTTCAGCAAAATTTATTTTTATTTTCATCGATTTTAATTTTATTTTAGAAAAATGGATGCAGAGCACCAAAGAAAATATATTTTATAGATTTAAGAGTTTAATAATTTAAGTGTTTGTTTTGCAGATGTTTTCTGCCTTTATATAATTTATTTCTTTAAAAGATTTTAAGAAATATATATGAAACGTTTTTTAATTTTAAAAATAATATATACAGTAATACAGAAATCTGTATTTTAAGAAAAAGTTTAATTCATTTAATTATATTAAATTTAATTTCATATCATGCACATTAATTCATTACATTATTTATTTATTACTATACACTATTTATTTAATTTTTGCTAAAAATTAAGACTTTTGTATTTCTGTATAGTGGATTAGGCCTGAAGCACTGTAAAAATGTGTATCTTGTTTTAAGACATACACTTTAATGACATTTTTTATTTTTTCTAGTCTTGAAATTTAAAAGATACAATTTTTCAGGTTTTGGGGATACCACAATAACTATGTACTTTTCACAGCCAATATTTCTCTAAAATAATTTTTAGAAGTTTGCTTTGGATAGTGCAATCTTTAAGGACTAATTTATTTTTCACGTAAAAATAATCATGTTTTTTATCTACTAATTTTACAACTTATGCTATTTTCATTAATTAATATATTCAATTTCACAAACCGCATGCAACTTCAATTAGTCCTCAAAGAGAAAAAAAACGCGCCACAAACTCTACCTCCAGGGTGGTGAGGAAACGGGTTTAATAATATATATACACTAAAAAAATTTATTTTTTTCAAATAATCACTTACTTGTCTATTATTAAATGTATACTTATTTGTTTAAACAAAATAATTATTGTTAGAATAAAATAAATTGTATTTGAGCCAAAAATTTGCGTATTTGAAAGAAATACAATTTAATTCGCTAAAATAATATTTATTATTCAATACAAATAAACACTTTCATTATAATAAACAAGTAATCAATTATTTGAAACAATAAATTTGTTTTTTTGTGTACTTTAATTATATGTTTAAATGTTTAAAAAAAATTTTTTATTATTACTTTTATAAAAAAAGTTAAAAAATTTTCAGTTACTAATAATAATAACAATCGTCTATTTACTACATTATTATAATCTTATGATTTTAAGAAATATCTTTTTTTACTTATAGTGATTATAATTAGGTATAATTAATTTAATATTAATTATTATCACCATTAATTTTAATTTTCAGTACTATTTATATATTACATTATATATATATATATATATATATGTAGTATATTATATTTATAATATAATATATATATAGTATATTTATTAATTTTTTGTTAATAAATATTTATAAAAACATTAATAAAAGTATATTTATATTATAAAGAATTTAAAAGTTCGCGCGTGAAATTAACCGGCTGTCGGTAAAAACAGGCATAGTCGCTCAGCTGAAGCGGGCGAATATGAGGAAAACGAAAAATAGGCACACCTACAAGAGTAAGCGCACGCTTTACACTTGTGTGTGTGGCCGTATGGTGGGAGGCGCACGGGCGGCATGGTGGGAGTGGAATTGGTGTGCAGCCTGGCACCACTGGTCCACAACCTCTAGGTCGGTTACTACACAACAGTGTTCCTCTTTTTTCACACCGTAAAAAGACGAAACTTAACACAAATGTCTATTTTCACGCCGTAAAATGACGTGTCTTTAGCCGATTGTCTACTTTCACACTGTTAAGTGACGTGACTTTAGCCAACTATCTATTTTCACGCCGTGAAAAGACGTGAGCTTAGGGTATTGTCTATATTCACTCCGTAAAATGACGCAATTTTAGACTATTGTCGACTTTCACGCTGTTAAATGACGTGACTATAGCCAACTGTCTATTTTCACGCCGTGAAAAGACGTGAGTTTAGGGTATTGTCTATATTCACTTCGTAAAATGACGTAGTTTTAGACTATTGTCGACTTTTGCGCTGTAAAATGACGTGACTTTAGCCAACGGTCTACTTTCAAACTGTAAAATGACGTGACTTTAGCCAACTGTCTATTTTCACGTCGTTAAAATACGTGACTTTAGACTATTTTCTATTTTTACGGCGTGAAAATATGTTACTTCGGAGAATTGTCTTTTTTCACGGCATAAAAAAACGTGAATTTAACTAGTTAATTATTTTCATTCCGTAAAAAGACGTTACTTTAGCCAGCTGTCTATTTTTACGCCGTAAATAGACGTGATATTAAACTATTTTCTATTTTCACGGCATGAAAATACTTTACTTCAGACTATTGTCTATTTTCACGTCGTGAAATGATTTAGCCAGCTGTCTATTTTCACGACCGTAAAAAGACGTGACTTTAGCCAAATGCCTTTTTAACGACATGAAAGGACGTAACTTTAGCCGTTTATTTATTTTCACGCTGTAAAAAGACGTGAGTTTAGGGTATTGTCTATATTCACTCCGTAAAATGACGTAGTTTTAGACTATTGTCGACTTTTACGCCGTAAAATGACGTGACATTAGCTAACGGTCTATTTTCACGTCGTGAAAAGACGTGGCTTTAGACTATTTTCTATTTTTACTGTGTGAAATTACGTTACTTTAGAGTATTGACTATTTTAACGGCATAAAAATTCGTGAATTTAGCTAGTTAATTATTTTCACTCCGTAAAAAGACGTAACTTTAGCCAGCTGTCTATTTTCACGCCGTAAACAGACGTGACATTAAACTATTTTCTATTTTCACGGCATGAAAATAAATATGCTTCAGACTATTGTCTATTTTCACGGCGTGAAAAGACGTGACTTTAGCCAGTTAATTATTTTCACGCCGTGAAAATAGACAATAGTCTAAAGTAACGTATTTTCACGCCGTGAACAGACGTGACATTAGCCAGCTGTCTATTTTCACGCCCGTTAAAAGACGTGACTGTAGCCAAATACCTCTTTAAAGACGTGAAAGGACGTAACTTTAGCCGTTTATTTATTTTCACGCCGTAAAATGACGTGGCTTCAGCCAAATATTTATTTTCACGGCGTAAAAATACGTGACTTTAGCCAGTCTAAATATTTATTTACTTATTATTAACAGAGTATAAGCCCATCAGCAGTGAGGACAGGAATGCTTCTAAATGCAGGACTCCCTGAGGCAATAATAGATCAAATTCCTATTCTTGAGACGAAGGACATTTTAGAAGCCGTTATCTTCGTTTTAGCGACACCGCCAAATGTTCAGGTAAAACTATATTTCATCGCACTATCATCATCATCATCATCATCATTACTATCTTTTTTTTCTTCGCGAATCATTCAAAGTAGCTATATTTTTGAAATCAAAATTAATATTCGAAATTTTTTTCTTACAGGTAAACGAGCTTACTTTAACGAGTCTTGGTCTACCCTCAAGCTAAAAAATATATATTCAATCTTGAAAATGTATTGAAATGTCGCGACAGATAAGGAGGGAACGATTTTTTTGCTCAAGAAAAATAGTGTTCACATATATATATATATATATATAAATCAATTTTTCAAATAAATGATTTAAAATCCTAATGTAACTATTTATCGGTGGTGCTTTGTATTATTATTATTTATATTGTTGTAATATATTTTTATTTTCTTATGATAAAATTAAAAATAAAATAAGAACAGAATCAAAATTTTTTTTTCTAATATAGAAAATCAAAAAATGAAAATTAGATCAATATTTATACAGAAGAATATTAATATTATATGATACTTTTTAGAGAAGATACGATTGTTTTTGAGTACCGAGCAAATAGTATTCTTTTCGAATCTCATAAAAATGTTTGAATCGTAAATGCATTTCAAAGTCATATAAAATAGTATATAAGGTCAATTTCAATTTTTAGGATTACGATGCAATTTATATTGTGCAGAAAGAGCAATAAATCGGAATTAATTTCCCATTGCAACTTAAAATAGTTAGTTATATATATACAATCTACTTTTGGTAATAAATTCACTGAATTAAATTTTTAAAGTGAAATTTTCTATATACAAAGTTTCTTAATTTAAAAGAACAAATTCACCTCCTCTAAAATATATAAATTCCTATTCATTAATTCCGCGATGCGTTCAGAAATTCATCATTTTTCCATAATTCCATAGTCTATTTATTAATTTCTTTCATTTAAATAACATTTTTTTAAAAAAAAAAAAAAAAAACATCGCAATTATAAACTAAATAACATCGCGATAAAAAAAATGATCTACATAATTGGAAATCGAATTTAATTATACAGTGAAGTCTGGGCTGTGTTGTTTAGCGCTAATTAAGAAAATTGAATATAAATAAATATATTTTGTTTCCTAAGGTAAATTACTTTTCGTCGTTGGAGAAAAAAAAATTTTTTAAAAAGAAAAAATGAAAAATACGCAAATTTTTTTTAAATTACAGATGCACAACTTATCCCTTTAATCTGCTTTAGTTTTCCGCACTTGTGTGAAATTTTAAATTAAAAAGAGATGAATTTACAAAATATTTTTAAAAATATTTTTAAAAATTAAAGAGCTAAAAAAAATATTTTTATGAAACAAAATTCAGAATTTAGTTTTTTTTTGTGATAATTTAGAAGAATTTGAAAATTTAAATACGAATTATTTGTTTCTCATTGTATTTGATATTATTATTTTTTTTTTTTTCTACACGAAATCTGTATTGTCGCGCAGATTGAGCGCCTTTCATTCAATATCCGGTGATTGAAGGTCTATTCTCGATTTTAATGATTGTTTTGCGGCTTCCCAGACCGTCAACTCTTTGAATCAACGGACAAGGTCCTTCCGAGGATTTGCTCGTTAAAAAAAAAAAAAAAAAAAAAAAAAAAATAATGTCACTCGAAACGCCGGAAATTCTTCAACGAATTCAAAAGTCCCATTTATTTTTTAAAATTCTCAATAAAAATTAAATTTAAAGTTCTCAAAAAAAAAAAAATTAGAGTATTAAAAGGTTTTAATAAAAAAAAATTCTGTAAAATTTTTTTTTTTTGCTACAACTAAAATAGAGTATTTTTGGTATCCTGCCTACCAAGTGGTAATTTTTGTGCAGGTATTTATTTTACCGACATATATATATAAATATAATAATAACACTAATTTATGTATATATATAGATGTCGGTAAAATAAATATTTATTTTACCGACGTGTATATAAATATAATAATAACACGCATTTCTATACCTATATAGATATCGGTAAAATAGATATCTGCACAAAATTACCAACTGATGGGAAAGATGACGTCATATTAAAATACTCTATAAGAATTAAAAAAAAATTTAAATCCTTTCTCTCTAAAATATCAACAAAAAAAAAAAATAAAATGAAAAAGAATGTGCAGTCAAAAATAGAAAAATTGTTACATACATATTAGAAAAAAATGAGCAAAAGGATTAATTAATAAAGGATTCTTCTTGCCAGCGTGAATCCCGAGTTAATTAAAACTATATATATATATATTCCCTCCAGAAATAAGATTTGCCATAATTATTTAAATCCAGAAAATCGAGGACACTTTATAAAGAGAAGAATATTAAATTATTTTTATTCTTTTTTCCAAAATCTAAATTATTATTATTACTATTATTATTATTATTATTATTATTATTATTATTATTATTATTATTATTATTATTATTATTATTATTATTATTATTACTATTATTATCATTGTTACTATTATTATTATTATTATAGTTTTTTTTATCATTTTTTTTACTATCGTCGTCGTATTCTTAATAAAAATATTTTGATATTTTTTTTTTGTATATTTAGATTCGAAATAAATTGAAGTGAAATTGATTTCTACGTCGATATATATACAATCGAAAATAATTGTTCCTCGACGAGATAGAGTCAAGTCTCTTCTCTTCTTCTTCTTCATCGTCTTATTCTCTTCTATATTCAACAATTTCAAGAGATATTCGATAACAAGATTAGCCTAATTAAACTTTTCTTCTTAAAAATTCTCAACTCTCTGGCTCTCAATTTTCTCATTCAGAATTTATAACAAAAAAAAAATTCTTACAGTCTTGCTAGTGAAGAAATTTTTTTTTGTTTTTTCCCCCCAACTATTTTTACATAACATTTATAATAATAAAAAAAAAAAAAAAACAATGATCAGTCGAATTCAATAGTTTTTTTTTATTTGTTAAAAAAAACCTCGATCAACGAAGTATAAAAAGACTCCTCTTAAAAATTTCAACTAAATGAAGGCCAAGAATTAAAAAAAAAGTTTAAAAAAATCAAATTTTTAAATTGGCAAAAAAATTGAATTTTTTTTTAAAAATATTTATTGATAATATCACTTCCGGCGCCTTGATATATATTATTACAATTTTCAAGGATTTATCAAATTTCTGTGATTATTGTCTCCTTTAATTTTGTGGTTAAAAATAATTTTATTTTTAAAATAATTATTTTCGCAAAATTATTTTTTTGGTAAATTATTTTTGATATTTTTTTTTTTTGTTTTTTTTTAATTCTCTATTAATTGTTTGTGTTTATTGATTAAATTTGAAAATTAGTCACCTCTCCTTTGTATCTCCGTGATTAATCGGAAAAATTGATATTGATCGAGATCTAGGCAATTGATAAAAGACGCTTCCTTATAAAAAAAAAAGTTTTATTTTTACATTAGGTGGCCTTTTATTTGAATTTTTTCACATTCCAATAAATATCTTGTTTGCTAAATCATATATAATTTTTTCTTAGTTAAATTTTTCTATATAAGAAAAAAAGCCAATTAACAAAAAAATGAATTAAAATTAATTTTTAAATTAAATTTTAACAAATAATTGGATTATTTATTTTTCGTAGAAAATTTGTTATCGATAATAACGAGTTTTTTATTTAAACATGAAACTTTAAGTGATATACATCTTTTTTGCTAAAAAATACTATTTTTATTTATGAGGCTTTTAAGAGATTTTTGAACTGCCTGGGGGAAAAAGTTTGGAATTAAATCTTTTGTTTCTCTATTTTTTGGCCGTTTGCCCGTCTCGTTAAGTGGGTAATTCATATAGTCAATGAAGTTATGAAGTTAACTAATTTTAATTGAAGCTATTTTTAGGACAAAAAATAAGACAGAAAAAAAGATTTTTTTTTTTTTAAACCGGAAATTAGAATTCTCAAGTTATCTTTTATTCTATAGAAATCTGAGAACATGAACTATCCCCCACTTGTGAAAACTTTTTTTTCCTTCGAATCTGTTCAAGTGAGAAAAGCAACTTAAGGTTCTTATCGTGATTCTAAAGTGAAAAGCTAACAGTATCAATTCAGCTCCAGTACAAGAATCTATTGCAAATTTTTATTATTTTTTTTTTTTGGTAAGATTATATTTAATTATTACAAAAAAAAAAAAATTTCCTTATAAATAAATTTTTTATATTTTTTGCAAAAAGGAATTTTAATTATTATACAAGATAATTAAATTTTCTTTCTCAAATTATCTTATGACCCACATTAAATGTTCTAATAAATTTAATTTTAACTTTTGACATTTGAACTTTGAAAAAAATACAATATTACCACGATGTAATTTAAAATTAAAATCATATTCAAGAGAAGTTAATTCCCTTCTCCCAACAACTTTTCTCATGTTTATAAAAATATTTTTTATGTTTTATTAAAAAAAAAAAAATTTATTTTAAAAATCTTTCAAAAAAAAAAAAAAAAAAAAAATGTAATTAAAAACGAGAACAGTGTTAAAGTTTTCTTTTTGGTATAAATAAAAATTCATGAAAATATTAAGCAACTGAAAATGTGCAAAATATTAAAAAATAATCGAGAAATTAAAAGTAAAAAAAATATTTGTTTCTTTAATTTATTTAAAAATAAATTTTCCAAATAAATATAACTAAAAATTTGCATTTAAAAAAAAAAAAAGTGTTGAAAGATTTTGTAATTTTGTAAATGATAAGATAACGTTACACATTTAGATTTACTGCTTTTCTTTACATTGAAATTAATTGAGGAAAAAATTAATGTATTAAATTAATAAATTAAATTACAAATTAAATTAGAAATTAAATTATTAAATTAAATTAATGAATTAAATTACAAATTAAATTAGAAATAAAATTATTAAATGAAATTAATAAATTAAATTAATGAATTAAAATGATTAAATTAAATTAATAAATTGAATTAAAATGATTAAATTAATTAATTGAATATTAAAATTAACAAAATTTGAACAATGAAATTTAAATTTCCCCAACAAGAAAACAAATTTTTTTTTTTTCATAAAAATAGAAATGAAAAATATAAATTTGTCGAATTTAATTCGAAAATGACTTATTTATTAAATGAATAAAAAAAAAATTCTTAAAAAGCGTAAACATTGTCTTTGAAAATTAATACCTTTCTATGTGTATACAAAAAAAAAAATGAGTGGAAAAATGATGAGTAGTAAAAAACGTACAACCCATAATTTTTTGCATGAAGAAATAAGTGTTAAAAGTTGAAGACAGGTGAGATTGGCTATAACAAGAAAGCAATTATTTAAGTCGAGAAGGCGCGTCGACAGCGAGAAAAACCGGAATCGCAAACCACGGAAGAACTTCGGCAATGCGCAACTTTAAAAGATTAATTGGTGTGTGTGGTTTTAATCGGTATTTTCTTCCACAGCCCGATGAATTCACGAAGTTTGGATACATATAAGTATATACAGATATACGATACATACAAATTTTATATATATATATATATATATATATATATATATGTATATACACAAATACATATACATATACAGAAAGTTAATTAAGGTTATTTCACGCCATGAATACAAAAAGTGATTTCTTTATTAATTATCAATAATTAAAATACCTCCTTTATCAATAACTATTTGATACAAAGAGATAGAGGGACTTGTATTTAAATTACGTGTAATTATTCATAAAATTGATTTTAATTGTCTACTTTTAATTCGTTTGAAATAAAATTAAAATATTTTTAAAAATTACATAATTTATTAATATTATGGGTTATGTTTATTTAATTTTTTTAATAATTGTAGTAATTAATTAAATTTGACTGTATTTATCATGATTTTTTTTGAAAGATAATAATAATAATGATAATAATAATGATAATAATAATAATAATAATAATAATAATAATAATAATAATAATAATCTTCTATTTTATTAAGTTAACAAATATCCAAAAGCGACACCGACACCGTGACCTCGACACCGTCCTTGGAAAATCTATTTTCACTTATTTTCAAATAAATCAAAATACTTTGCCATATGCTTTTAAAAAATCTTACATACTTTTTTTTGTAGCATGTTTTTTTCAATTTTAACCCGAAAAAGGGTTATTTTGCATTTTCATCCCAAAAAAGGGTTATTTTGCAATTTTATGCAATTTTTTTTACGAATTTTTGGATATATACCTTTAAAATTACTCTATTTTTAAAATGTTACTTATAAACAATTTTTTATGGTTTTTTTTATTATTTATTGTTGTTTTTTAAATTTTTTGTTAGGAACCTATAATATTGTGCCTAATTTTGGAAGTGTCATTGAAATCAATTGTTTTTAACTTAATAATTTTAACATTTCTTATTTTAAAACGAAACATCTTCTATTATATTAAGTTAACAAATTTCCAAAAGCGACACCGACACCGTGACCTCGACATCGTCCTTGGAAAATCTATTTTCACTTATTTTCAAATAAATCAAAATACTTTGCCATATGCTTTTAGAAAATCTTACATACTTTTTTTTGTAACTTTTTTTTTTAATTTTAACCCAAAAAAGGGTTATTTTGCATTTTCATTCCAAAAAAAGGGTTATTTTGCAATTTTATGCAATTTGCAAAATCTCCATGTGTTTGTGGGGCAATTTACAGCAATATAATATAATATAATATCGCTAGTAATAATAATAATACTAAATTCCAAAATTCGAAACTGACAATTATTGTCAAAATTTGTAATTTGACATATAAAATTTATTTTCGCTGACAAATTGAAATAATATAAAATATACAGCCTTCAAATTATAATCGCAATACTCGATTTGCTTGGAAGCACCTTGGCATTTAAAATAATGGCTTAACGCTCTGTTATATGTGCCTCATCGCTATGTCATTCTCACATATTACACTTTCTATCTATATGGTAAATGTGTAACTTTTAATTCGCAAAAAAAAAAAAAACAAAACAAAAGATTCCGCCTAATTCCCGACGTGTAAGTATTTATAATGCTTAATAGAAAATTAATCGTCTCTGACAAAATATGAGATTCTCGCCCCCCATGTGAAAGTTTTAGGGAAATTAATTTCTTTTCACTGTAAGTGATGTTCCTCTTTGTTTTTTTTGTTTCTACTTTTTATATATTTATTTATCCTGCACTACTCTCAGAAATTAATTTAAATATAATAACATTTAATGAGGGGATTTGAAAATTTTAATTTGAATAAAATAATAATTATTATAATTTATATATAATAATAATAATAATAATAATAATAATAATAATAATATATAATAATATATAATAATTAAGGTTCTTTTTTGTCCAATTTAATAACAATATTATTATTATCATTATTATATTAATCAGCTCTTTTAATCTTGTCACGAGAGCGCGATGCTCGAAATGCAAAACTAAAATTGTGCGTTCAAATCTAATTTTCCTTCGCGCATAATATATATAACAATTGAACGGGTAAACCTGTTTGGAATAAATTATCATTCTCATATATATATACGAATACGATAGGGAAAAAAAATTTTCCTATGGAAATCAAATTGTTTATCGCACTTGTGTGACACACACACCTACACCTACAAACAAAATCGATAAAATTAAATACAATATTATCTCTTGATGAATTTCTCGAAATATGAAATAATAATTAATTTCCTTCTTTTTCAATTAATTCTCAATAAATTCCTCTTTTTAAATTTTGTTTCATTAACTTACGGAGTTAATTCCCCTCGGCTTTAATTTCTGAGCTTTTACCTCACTTTTCTTAGAAATGAAAAAATTTGGAAAAATTGAAGAAATTAAAAAAAAAACTTCCTACTCCTTATTGAATTATTATCATCGAAGTAGTTCTCGTTTCAGTATAAATAAATACAATAAAAAAAAACTCGGTCGTTAAAAGGTCGCTTTTTCTCTATCAACGAGTTAGAATAAGAGATGTTTTCTCCACGCTCTGAATATTTTGGCGTGTTCCTCCTCTCGCTATAGGTGGAAGTTGGAGAAAAAGAAGAAGATCTATTCAAAGAACATATAGAGTGAAGTCGAAGTAATAAAGCTAAAGCATTCAGTCGTTGAATGGTCAGTTTATTTCTCGTCACTCACCCGCGCGCATCAAATAAACGTGAATTCCAAACAATAATTTTTGTAAACCAAAAAAAAAAAAGGATGACCCCCCACCCAAGAAAGAGGAAATGGAATCCTCGATGAAAATAAGAGGACACAATTCCTCGTCAAGTAAGCAAAAATTTTTTCCCATTATTTGAAATTTCAAGAATTTCTAATATTTGGGATGTGAAGAAGTTTGAAATCGAAAAAAAAACGAAATTAGTGTATTATTTTTTTAATTAATTTTTTTCTACAGATTCCTATGAGATGAGAGGTGTAATTTTGTGGCTAGCATTATTGCTAGGTACACATTTTATCGATGCGATACCAAGTAGGATTTCATCTTTTACAACAAATGCAGATGATTGTGATGATAAAAAAAGCAAACCTAACATCATTATTATTTTGGCTGACGATTTGGTAAAATTAAAAATTTTTTAAATTAAAATTAAAAAATTTTAAATTAAAATTTTAAATTGTAAAATTTAATTTTCATGGGAAAACCATTAATTCGTAAAAGATAATCAGTGATTACTAATTCAACACACCTATTCATTAGGGATGGAACGATGTTGGTTTTCACGGATCAAATCAAATATCAACACCGAATATCGATGCTCTCGCGTACAATGGTATAATTTTGAATAATCATTACGTGGCTCCATTATGTACGCCCAGTAGAGCTTCTCTTTTAACTGGAAAATATCCAATTCACATGGGATTACAACATCTTGTTCTTTTTGAACCAGAACCAAGAGGACTTCCGTTGAATGAAAAACTACTACCACAGGTAAAATTTCTAAAAAAGGGTTTCTGTATTTTTTCTTTTTTTAAATATCGATTTTTAGTATTTACAAGAAGGCGGTTACAAGACACACGCAATCGGAAAATGGCACCTGGGATATTATCACGAGAACTATACACCTACATTTCGTGGTTTTGACACACATTTTGGCTACTGGAATGGTTTTCAAGATTATTATTCTCACATTGTTGAATCGACAGTGAGTATTTGGTAAACTAATGGATTTTTTTTTTGCGTAATTCTATTTGAATATAGCTAAAAAATTTGTATCTCCCCCCAATAGAAAGAGGGATATCGAGGATTTGATATGAGAAGAAATATGAGCATCGCTTGGGATACTGCTGGAAAATATTCCACTGATTTATTTACTGATGAAGCAATTCGTCTAATTGATGAACACGATCAACGAGATCCTATGTTTATGTACCTAGCACATTTGGCACCACACACCGGTAATCAGGATAACCCTTTTCAAGCACCCGATGAAGAAATCGCTAAATTCTCCTACATTCAGGATCCCGAGAGAAGAATCTATGCAGGTTTGAATCTAATTCACGATTTTAGTTTACTACTAATTTTCATTAAAATTCTTCAAGTAAAAAATATTTGTGACGCGCTCTAAGGGCAATTTATGTTTAATACAGTTCGTGGAAAATATTTAATAAAAACTAATTTTAAATAATTTAATTAACATAAAAAACTGAACCTTCTTTCGTTAATTTAATTAATTTTTTAAATTATAATAAGCTAATGGTTAAAGAATAAATCTAACCTCAAATCAGTATCTGATCAATCTTGCTTAGTAAAATTTTGGTTTCCAAGTTTGTGTATGAATTCTAGCCTCATACTTTCGTATATCTATTGCATTTCTTTAATACGTGCTCTGGTGATGTTTGTTTTGTTTATCAATAATAGACTCGATATAAAACAAAACTTTTTTTCCCCTACTTCACTTACCTTTGCATTGGAGCTGCTTGCACATCATTATTCTCTGCTGGGCTAAAGTTTCATCCCACATTTACACCATTGGAAATTGTCTTTTTTTTTTGCATTTTACGAAATCTAAAAAACCTGATTGGCTGTCCGCAATCAGACTAATTGTAGAAATCCAAAAAGATTTTTTTTTTTTTGGAAAATGCAAAGAAATGAAAATTTCTGTGTAAATGTATTCTCCTTTTCGTCTCGGCGTCCATCTGAAACAAAACAATAAATAAAATTCAAAATTATTTAAACTTCATTTATTTAAAGTATTAATTTCAAAGAAATTAATTACAAATTGAAAAATTTTTAGCAATGGTTTCAAAATTGGATCAAAGTGTTGGAGATGTTATTGCAGCTTTAAGACGACGTGGAATGCTTGACAACAGTATCATTGTTTTCCTATCGGATAATGGAGCACCAACAATGGGAATTCATAGTAATCGAGGAAGTAATTATCCTCTACGTGGGGTAAGTTTGCTTCTATCATTGCGGTTAACCAAAATGAAAATTTTCTCATAGTCAAATACAATTAATTTCATGACCATCAAAGGAATTATTCCCTCGGATCATTCAATTTCAAATAATTTATTACAATTTAGATAAAAGAAACTCCTTGGGAGGGAGCAGTTCGTGGAGTTGCAGCAATTTGGAGTCCCTTAATCGAAAATCCAAAACGAGTCTCAAATAATCTAATGCACATTGCCGATTGGTTACCGACTTTATATTCAGCTGCAGGTATTAGAAGCTTTCTATTTTTTTAAATTTTCCTTTCAAATAAACAAAATAGCAAAAATTTTATATCAACTTTGCTATAATAGGTTTCGATTCAAGGAACCTAGGGACAATCGACGGAATTGATTTATGGTCGACCATTATCGCGGAGAAGAATAATCCACGATCAGAGATTTTGATAAACATTGATGAGATTGCAAACTACGCGGCGATTCGTCGTGGTGATTTTAAATATGTTATTGGTTCGACGAAAAATGGAGAATTATGGTACGGAGAAACCGGAAGACAAGAGAATCAAGAAACTGAAGGCTGTCTGCCAATCTATAATCCTCAAGAGATATTGATGAGTAAAGCGGGAGTCGCCATTTCCGGTATCATCACTTCTAAACAAATTCAACGAATGCGAATTGTTCGTGAGAATAAATCATCGCCACCAAGCTGGAAATCGAAAATTCAAATTCTCGCACCGTCGGAAATTATCAGACTGAGAGGCGACGCTGAAATTATTTGCAACATTCGAAAAGAAGATGAGGTTTTATTTTATAATTTTCCTTTCAAATTATTATTATTTTTTTAAATATAAATTTCTAAATTTACTTCACAGGTTACTTGTAATCCCATTGAAGCGCCATGTCTCTTTAACATCAAAGAAGATCCATGCGAGAGAATAAATCTCGCCAAATTACGACCTGTAATTCTAAAAACACTAGAGGACGCTTTATTGAAATATAAAGTAACAGCAATGCCGGCGAGTAATTTGGAAAATGATCGCAAGGCAAATCCAATATATTGGAATAACACTTGGACCAATTGGATGGATGATAATCCAATGAATGAATCAACAAAAAAAGTGGTACATGGACAAACAATAATTATTGCAATAATTGCCGTGATATTTGGTCTATTGATAATAGGAATGTTTGTTCTTATGGGTTTAAATTGTGCAAAAAAATCATTTCAAGAAAGTGGTTCATTCTTGGAACGTGATCCCATTCAGGATGATCAAAATAGTGGACCTGGTTCAATTGCTGTGCGAGATGAGAGACGAATTTCTCATTTTTCGAAAGATTTGACAAATTTCAAAGGAATTGATACATTTAAAGATGTGACAAAAAATATCGATTGACAAACAAGAAAGGGGTTCGCAAAAAATCGTATTCTATTTACTAGAATTAAAATTTTTTACATCTCTCATGATAAATGTGATAAACGTTAAATTCCGTTTTCTTTTCTTGTGATTTCTATTTCAAATAAGAGGAAACGGAAAAATTCGAGGAAAATTTGTTTTCTGTAAATCTAGTTTGAAGTATTTTTTTTTCATTAATTTAATTTATTTTAATTTAAATTTTTATTAACTACCTCCTGCGCGAACCTCATCGACTGGCGGTTTCGATCACGACAATATTTCCCTGAATATTGTTGTCGACTCAACAATATTCCGTCAGTAAATTTTGAATTGAAACAGGAAAACGTACTTGGAAATCAAGTATTTTTGTACATTCCAAATAATCAGAAATTTTTAAAAGAAAATAATTAAAGATTATTATTTTCTTTATTTGAAAAAATTCAAAAAGATAAATGGTTCATAGAAATAACAAGCAATTAATTTACATTAGATCTAAAATATAAAAATTTTTATATTTAATCACAAATTTTTTAGAAAAAATTTCAAATTTCGTGTATTAAAAAAAAATCAAATCTATTTTCAAGATTTGATTGTAAGTTGCAAGGGAGATTTTGTGCAATTTGTAAATATAGTTTCTAAGAGCACTTGTATGATGAAAGAAATAAAAAAGTAAAAATAAATGTTTGAAAACAAATATTTGTTTAACCGTTTTATGTATATTTAAATATTAATTATTAAAATTTATTATTTTACTCAAGTAAATAGAACGTTAAAAGCATTATCTTATCATAAGGAAAAAAAATAAAATTTTTGAATTTCTTTTAAAAATGTAAATTCTGCTATCTACGGCATAACATTTTCTCGATACAACATTAAGTTATTTCGTTTATTTACTATTTTTCATTTTTTGGTAATCAAAATAAAATGATTGCTCAATTATTATTTTATTTAACATTAACGAGTTTTGTTTTTATAAGTGGACAAGTTTCTGAAACAATAATAAATTTATCGCGAAGAAAAAATAAAACAAATACAAGACCAAATATTATTATGATCATAGCTGATGATTTGGTGAGTTTAATAATATTTGCAATATTAAATAGAAATTTAAATTGTTTTAAGAATTAATAACACTTATCAGGGATGGAATGATGTGAGTTTTCATGGATCAAATCAAATACCAACGCCAAATATCGATGCCCTTGGTTTTAATGGTTTAATTTTAAATAATCATTATGTAGCTCCACTATGTACACCCAGTAGATCTTCTCTTTTGACGGGAAAATATCCCATTCATACTGGAATGCAGCATAGTGTACTTTTAGAATCTGAACCACGGGGACTTCCTCTCAGCGAAAAATTACTTCCGCAGGTGAAATTTTCTCAAAAATATAACAGTAAAACAAAACAAAAAAAAATCAAAAATATTTAAAATTAAATTTTAGAATTAAATTAAAAATAACAATACAATTAAATAATTAAAAAAAATTAATAATTTGTTATAAAAGTATTTACAAGAAGTTGGATATAAGACCCATGCAATTGGAAAATGGCACCTGGGATATTATCGTAAAGAGTATACGCCAATTTATCGAGGATTCGACACTCATTTTGGCTATTGGAATGGCTTACAAGACTATTATACTCACATTGTTCAATCGACAGTAAAAACTTTTGAAAAAATAATTACATTTGGGATTATATTTAGCATATTTATTCTTTTTTAAAAAAAATTATTTTTACCCAAAAAGGAGGAAAAATATCGAGGATTTGATATGAGAAGAAATATGACTGTGGCTTGGGACACGGCTGGAAAATATTCCACCGATTTATTCACTGAAGAAGCAATTCGTTTGATTGATAAACACGATCAACGTGATCCAATGTTCATGTATCTGACTCATTTGGCACCACATACGGGAAATCAAGATAATCTTTTACAAGCACCCGAGGAAGAAATTGCTAAATTTTCCTATATTAAAAATCCCGAGAGAAGAATATATGCAGGTTTGAATCTAATTCATGATTTTAATTTACTATTAATTTTCTTTTAAATAAATAATAAAGAAATTTTGATCAGAGTGAAACTATCGTAAACATAACCTATAATTCGTTTGCTTCTTAGGTCCCCTTTCTATAGATAGCGTCATAAATTAATTAAAATGACTAAATGCAAAAAATTTTACAAACGCGAAATGAATATGCCAAACATAACCCCAAATATTTTTTTTAATCTAAAAAACTAAACCGATTTTTTAAATTTAACTTTACTTTCAATTAACGGAAAAATAATTAACCTAACCACAAATCAGTATCTGAACAGTCTTGTTCAGTAAAATTTTGGTTTCCAAGTTTGTGTATGAGTTCCAGCCTCATACTTTCGTATCTATTGCATTTCTTTAATACGTGCTCTGATGATGTTTGTTTTGTTTATCAATAATAGACTCGATATAAAACAAAACTTTTTTTTTTGCTTACAATTACCTTTGCTTTGAACCTGGACAACAATTGCAATTCTTCCTCAGCCAAATTGTTTCAAATTTCTTCTATCGTCTCGATGTTTATCTGAAATAAAATAATTGCGGAAACAAATAATAAGTTAAAATTCAAAAAATTAAATATTCAAGATAAAAGTTCATTCTCTAAATTTGCATTGAAAGTAATTCTAAATTTAAATTAAAAATACAAAAATAATTTCCAGCAATGGTTTCGAAATTGGACCAAAGTGTTGGAGAAGTTATCGCAGCTTTGAAACGTCGTGGAATGCTTGACAACAGTATCATTGTTTTCTTAGCGGACAATGGAGCTCCAACAATGGGAATTTATGCTAATCGAGGCAGTAATTATCCATTGCGTGGAGTAAGTTTCTGTCTCTTAATTTATATACATGAAAATGTTTCATCTTACCGTCAATGTAATTCCATTTTTTAATTTTAAAATACCTTTAGTAATAATAATAATAACTCCCTCCTTGGTGTGAGCAGATTATTTTCCATCCTGGGAAAAATAAAAACAAAATAATAATAATAATCGCCTTCAGATAAAAGCAAGTCCTTGGGAGGGAGCTGTTCGTGGAGTTGCAGCAATTTGGAGTCCTTTAATCCTGAATTCCAAAAGAGTCTCAAATCATTTGATGCACATTACCGATTGGCTGCCAACATTATATTCTGCTGCAGGTAGAAAATAAAAAGAAAATTAAATAAATACAAAAATACAAAACAAAAACAAATTTCAAAAATAGGTTGTGATCCTGCAACTCTTGGTGAAATTGATGGTAAAAATTTATGGTTGACTCTCACTATGGAAAAAAATAATCCACGCACTGAAATTCTCATTAATATTGACGAGATTGATAATTATTCAGCAATTCGTCGTAATGATTTTAAATATTTAATTGGTTCGGTGAATAATGGTGACTTTTGGTATGGCGAAACTGGAAGGCCCATGAATTTTTCAATTGAGGGTATTTCACCGAAATTCAATCCACAGAACGTTCTTCAAAGTAAAGCAGGAATTGCCATTTCTCAACTCAATTTAAGTTCAATTCATGAAATTGATGAGAAAAATATCTCGCAAAAAAGAAATTATATTGAAAGCCAAGAGAGACTCACTTCAAGGGAAATTTTACTTCTTCGACGTGATGCTGAGTTGATTTGTAACTTAAAAAAAGAAGTAAATTGATTAAAAAAAAATATATTAAAATACAAAATTAAATAAAGAAATAGAAATTATATATATAAAAAAAATGTTACAATATTTCTATTTTTCAAAAAGTTTCAAATTCTTTTTACTTTTAAATTGTAAAAAATATAATTTTGTTTTAAATAATAAATTTTTGAAACTTTTTGAAATTAATTTCTATTTTTCAAGAAATTAAATTTGTTTTCAGATCAATTGCAATCCAATTAAAGCGCCATGTCTCTTTAATATCAAAGATGATCCCTGCGAGAGAGTAAATCTCGCCAAGATTCGTCCTGATATTTTAAAACAATTGGAAACATCAATTTTATTATACAAAAAAACTTTGACGCCAGCCAGTAATGTTAAAAATGATCCAAAAGCAAATCCAATTAATTGGAATGGAATTTGGACCAATTGGAAAGATTGTCATCCAATTTTAAGCAAATAATTTAATTTCCATCCAATTTCGTTATTATACGTTAATATAAAATAAATTGTAATACAAAAAAAATATTACAATAAATGCCTATATGGCTCTTTATTAATAATAATAATAATAATAATCAACCATTTTGGGAACTCTTATTCTGTACAAAATTTTGCATGACTGATAAACACGATGACTGTCACATGTTTAAGTAAATTTTACATGTATACAATATCTAAAAATATAATTTACTTATTTATTATCATTCAATGAAAAATCACGATCTTATGAAAGAAAAAAAAATAATTTTTCTTTTTCATTTCTATTTTTTAAATATATTCACATTATTGAACGTGATTTAACGTTGGTTTATTATTTTTTTATTGAACAATGCACTGCATGAGAAAACGATTTTAAAAGGTTATGGCAGAGAAAAAAAAAAAAAAAATGATATCAAAAAAATAACCGAAATGTACAATTTATCATCAAGGCAACTCACATAAATACTTCACTTATTATACAATATTTTTTTTTTTATATATATATATATAGAATTATTTCATTTGTTGCTAAAATATATTACAATAGTTTGCACCTAAAAGTCTCTTTCATTTAAAATTCTTATCTAGATCATTTTTTTTTATTTGCATGTTTTTTTTTGTCTCTCACTTTTTTTTTAAGACTCATCTGATTTTCATCAGGTTTTTTTTTTAGTTTTTTATTATTGGCAGTTGCTTCCTACAAGGAATGTATTTCCAGGACGAAGCGAGAATGACTTTAGCTTCATTTGTCTTCTTTCATCACATGTGCATCACCTTCGGTGTGCTTGAAAATTGAAATTAAAATCCTTAAATTAAATTAAAGTTTTTTAACAAATTTTTTTAAGTTGTGGAATTTTAACAATTTAGCCAAATTGTTGATTTAATTTTAATATTTCAATACGGTTATTTTTTTGAATATAAAGTAATTTTTTTTTATTTAAAATTTTCTGAATTTTCAAAAAGAAAAAAAAATGGAAAATTTTTTTGTACAATTTTATCAAAACAATTTATGATAACTTACCTTTTGCCCCAAAGCCAGTTCATTAAAACGCTCGATTGACTCGGAACGTCTTTGGCTGTGAACAAATACAACAAATTTTTAATCGGAAAATTTCATTTCAAAAATTTAATAATTTGCGGGATATTTAAAAACAAAAATATTTTAACAAAATAAATTTAAAAAAAAAAAATCTGTACGAAAAATTATTTTTAAAAAGTGAAGTAAAATTTGATTAAATATTTGATAAACAAGTACTGCTAAATAGTAAATTAAAATATAAAAAATAAATAAAAAATATTATGAACCGTTAATAGAAAAATATTCGAAATATTTTTTTTTTTTTAAACACGAAATAAAATTAAAATTTTTGAAAATTGGATAAAGGAACATTTTTGAGAGTACATACAAATGGTATAATTGGCATTGATAAGTTTGGCTGCAGCTTCAGGCGGCAAAGTACTTAAAACATCTTTATGGGCAAGCAGGGACATTTGCTGTGTGTGCCTCAGCTCTCGATCATCTCTCAATCTCACGTCCTTTGAATGACCCACCGTGTGCAATTGAGAAAGTCTAAATGGGAAAAACTAGCTTACACAACTCGCCAGGAGCCAAATTAGAAAAAAAAAATTGAAGCCAAATTAAAAAAATTCTATTTCAATTCCTCAAAATTTAATTTTATGCGCTTCCAAAAATTACTATCTAAAAAAAATTCCCCAACTGCAAGATTCGTAACTGCAGGATTTCTAATTGCAAAATTTATAACTGCAGAATTCGTAACTCTAAGTTTCGTAACTGATTTTACAAAAGGATAATAACAATTTTCATAAAATTAAATTCAAAGAATTGCAATTACATTTCTTCAAAAAACTACAAATTACAAAGCATTAAAAAAAAAAACGAAACATAATTAAATTTCTCTATAAAACAAAAATCTAATTATCAACTAATTAACTATATGAAAAATAAAAAAAGAATCATACTTCTGAGCAAGAGCTTCCTTATTATCACCAATGGAGGAATCAAGCGCGTCTTTGGCAATTTCCACAGGTCCTTCGGATCTCGAAGGCGACGGATCCTCCACTAGCGGTAAACTTCCTGAACTCATTGACAAACTCTTAGTGGGACTTCCCGATCTTCTCATCTCCTCATTAATTCTAATTGCATTTGACAATCTCAATTGCAATGTATCCCTTTCCTCTAACAATTGCATCAGTTCCAATGTTAATTCCTCACATCTCACATCTCTCTGATGAAGCATATAGAGCGCCAAATCCAATTCATTTGCCGATGAATCCAAATTATCATCACTCGGTGAATTAGAATCATCCGTTTTTGTCACATGCCTCCTCAATGCATGTTGAATTAATTCCAATTCTTTTAATTTCTCCTCAATTTGTTGTTTCAATTCATTTATCTCATGATCACGCGTCTCAAGTATCATTTTCAAATCTATTAATTGTCGTTCCTCCTCATCGGATAGCGCTTGTAATTCCTCTATTCTCAATTCTTTGTCATGAATTTGTAATTTTAAATTTTGTATCTCAGCATCTTTTGTCACACTCAATTCAATTAGTCTACGATCTCTTTCGGCAAGATCATTACCAGCGTAGGCGATTTCGGCAATTTTCTTCTGCAATTGCTCATCGTGTGTTGAATCAATTTCCTCGATTTGATGTCGTAAATTCTCAATTTCTCTTTCTCTTAATTTCAAATCATTCAAAAGACCCTCATTCTCGGCTTGGAGTCTTGATCTCACCTAGTGAAATTAAATTTAATTATATACAATAAAATCTACCAAAATTAGCCTTAAATCTCCGAATTGACAAATTTTTTAGGAATAATTGGACTTAAGGAAGCAGAAATACTTTTAGAATTAATTTTATTTAAACTCACCTCCTCAATTTGTGTCTCCTTCTCCATTAGCATTCGTTCCAAATTTTCCTGACCCTCGACTCTTATTTGCTCCTTTTCGTTCATCAGCCTCTCGATCATCATTTTATCAACACCCGATGAATCCTCCATAAGTTGAGCGTCCTTTTCAGCTAAAATTTGCCTTAAATCCTGTACTTCCTGTTCCCATGCTCGTAAAGCATCACGTAATCTTTGATTCTCCTCCTCGTCCAATGAACGTTTCCTTCTACTCATCCTCGGCGATACCTCCTGTTGAATCTTCACTTCCTGCCGTTGTACCTCAAGTTCCTGTCTCAATGCTTTAATCTCCTGCTCTTTTTCACTAACTTGTTCCTTCAAATTTTGCGAAAATGACGCCAATGTCATTTCAAAATGCGCCTTCTCATTGTACAATTGATTCACCGTATCTTGTAGTTCCTGAATTATTTGTGTATAAGTATTTAAATTCAACGACGCTTCCAAATGATCGACTTGCAATTGTTTTTGACTCAATTGAGCACGTAATTGAACAATTTCATCAACATTATCATCATCATCATCACCCATACGGAAAATGGGAACATCATCAGCTGTTTTTCGTAAATTCTCCGAATCCTTACGTCCCTTCTCTGTTAAATCAGATTTTTCCGCAATTTTCTGTCGCAGTTCCTCATCTTTCTCGAATATTTTCTGTCGATGCTCTTCTTCTTTTTCAAAAATCATTTGACGTAATTCTTCCTCTTTCTCAATAATCTTCTGACGTAATTGTTCTTCATTTTCCACAATTTTTTGCCGAAATTCTTCATCTTTTTCAATTATTTTTCGTTGTAATTCCTCCTCCTGTTGGAAAATTTTCGTTTGCAATTGATTAACTATCAATTCATTGGCAGATAATTTTGTTTGAAGATCCTGGAAATTAGTTTCCCTTTCCTCTAATTCTTGCTTTTTAGTTTGAAGATCAAGTTGCAAAATATTATAACTCTCGGTTTTATTCTCCTCTAGATCGTTAAGTCTCTCGAGTTCTTGTTCATCAACTTGAAGTTTAGCAATAAGTTGCTGAATCTCAATACCACTTGTCTCCAATTCCTGTTGTGATTTCTGTAATTCCTGTTGAATCTCCTGAATAGTGGAATCTTTTTCCATTAATAATTTTCGTAATTCATTGAGTTCGTGTTCGTCTTGAATAATTTTATTCTGTAAATGTTGAACATTCTGCTCATGTGATTGTATAGCCGTTATATATTGTTGTAAATCATTTTCAAGGATCAATACCTTTTGAGTGAGTTCAGTTTCCTTTTGGATTTTCTCATCAAGAGCAGAGATTAATTTCTCAATTTCCTCTGCTTGAGTTTGTAGAACTTCATTTGTATTTTTTACCTCTTGTTTTAGGAGGAGAATTTCTTGATCTTTTTGTAAAATTAATTCTTGATCCAATCCCTTTTGAACGATTTCTTCCTCCTTTTGAAGGAGTAATTGTTTTAGATTTTCCACCTCTTGATTTTTGAGACTCATTTCCTCGGTGGATTTTTGAATCAAAAGCTGCAAATTCCCTTCTTCTTGAAGATTTTCAATGCAAATTTGCGATTCTTTTTGTAGATTTTCAATTTCCTGGATACGTTCCTTAAGAATTTGATCCAATTCCTCTTTTTCGGTTCGAGTTTGTTGCAGTTCATTACTAACACTAAGAAGCGATTCTTCAGATTCTTTACGTAAATTCTCCAATTCGGTGTCAAATTCCTCTTTTCTTTTAGAAACTTCCTCCTTTAGAAGATCGGAATTTTGCCTCATCACTTGAACCTGATCGTTCGCATCCATCAAACTCTGTTCATATTGTTTTCTCAATACATTATATTCGTCTTTCAATTTATCCAAATCTTTCTTTACCTCCATGTTAGTTTCGACAATTTTTTCCAATTCCACATTCCTTGCTGTTAATTTTTCCAATTCTTCACTATTATCATTTTCTTGAATTTTGGTCAATTTCTCCAATTTTGCTTCCAAAGCCAAACGATTTGTTTTCTGTTGAAATAGAGCTGCCTGCAACTCCTGATTCTCGGCATCCAATGCCATTGTTTTATCCTGTAATTGTTGAATCATGTCATCTTGTGGTATATCTTTTTGCAATATCTCGAGTTTATTGCTAATTTCACGATTTCTCAATTCTAGAACTTGCATTTCCATATCTTGTTTCTCTTTCATTTCAACGTGTCGTTCATTAGCTGCCATTAAAACATCCAAACGTTGCACTAAATTCTCCTTCTCCTTCAGTGTCACTGTTAATTCATTTTTAGCATCGGCTAAAGATTTCTCCAAACCGGTAATTTGTGAATTCATCTCATCACTAAACATCGAATCCAAATCACACATATCGCTTGTTAATTTACGTGATTTCAATTGTTGTTGCAAATTATCAACCTGGAATTTATATTCTTTTAATTTTTTAATCAATTTCCCGCATTTTGCCGAAATATTGCTGTTGTCTTCTAAAATTTTCGCTTTCTCCGCCTCGTGCGTTTGAATCTGATCCTGTAGTTCATCAATTTTTGTTTGTAGAATTTCCACATTTGGTAATGTAATCGGTAGAATTTCACTGGTAACTTCCGAATTGAAACCCCAACCTTCTTCCTCTACCCAAGAAGGTTCAACGGATTTTTCAACTTCATCAGGAATCAATTTTTCCGAATCCTCCAAATTCTTCAAAGCTAAAGTCAAATTCTCAACTTGAATAAGTAATTGATCTCTTTCACGTTGGGCAAGATTTAATTCAGTTTGCACATCTTGTAGACTTTTAATGGAAACTGTTGACTCCTTAGTATTCTCAAGGGCTCGCATAAGATCATTTACCTGCAACTGAAAGAGTTCGTTTTCACGTTGAATTTTACTGGCACGTTCCTCAAGTTCATGTACTCGACTATTATCACCCAAAGTTTTTACTTCATTTTCAAGCTGAAGAATCCGGAATCTACACAATTCTTGCGTTGCAATTAATTCCTCATTCTCAATTCTTATTCCTTCCAATTCTTTTAGTCGATTATTTGCAATTTCAAATTCCTTAATCCCTTCGCTTTGAAGTATTTCCAATTGTTCAAGTTTTAATGAGCGTTCCTCAATCTCCCGTGACAATTCACTGCAGAAATTTTCCTTCTCAATGAGAGCTTCCCTTAATCTGATAATTTCACTCTCATCATCATCATTTCCCGCTGATTCAGTGCCAAAGACTTTAGAAGCATCGAACAAAGGAGCAACTTCTCTTTTCGTTGTCAATTTCTCCGGATTCTCTAAATTCTCCCTAAGATTCTGTAATTGAATCCTCGTATCATCGAGTTCAGTCTGAAGATTCGCTTTTTCATTCGCCAATTCAATTTCCGCTGCCCTTGTTCTTTCCTCCAATGAAACATTCAAATTCTTAATTGCCTCAATTTTTTCCAACAACTCCTGATTCTCCTGCAAAGTGGCATTTAACTGAATCTTAATATCCTCATTAGTTGCCATCAGTGAATTATACTGCATCATTAAATCATTATACGACTCCTGAAGTGAACGATTTTGACCAAGATTATTAATTCTAATATTATCCTGCATTTGTACAAAATTAACCACCGAATTGGCGAGTTCATTATCCAAATTTTCAATCTGTGCATCACGTTCCTGTAATCTTGCCTCAAGTGTATGTACCAGTGTTTGACATTGATCGCATCTTTCACATTTTGTAAATGAATCATCAATCGACGATGACGATTGATCTTGATCATGTCCAACTGATTCCTTATCACGTTTTGCCATCAAATCAACAACTTCTAATTCTTTTTTCTCCAATTCAAGTTGAAGACGTTCGAGAAGAATTTTCCGTTCCTCCGTTTCTTTTTCCACATTCTCTAGAAGAATTTTCCTTTCCTCTGATTCTTTTTCAGCGTTCTCAAGTCTTTCATTAATTTGCGTATTCTTGGAAGACAACATTCCATTAACAGTTCTTAAAGTTTGAATTATTGACAATTGTTCAACGTACTCCGTTTCCATCACCTGCATTCGAACACTTAATTCCCTAACATTATCTTTTGCTTCAACAAGTTCTAATTGTTGTTTCTTTAATTTCTCCAAAATTATCTCAAATGATTCCTCTTCCATTTCGTCGATTGTTCTCATTAGAATTTTCAATCTTTCTCTAGCTTCATTCAATTCAATGACCAATCTCTCGATATTCGTCGAAGTCTCATTTTTCAAATTTACAATTTCATTCTCCATTTCTTTGCGAATATTATCTTTAATGACAATTTCATTTACCGCCTCTTCGAGTTGAGATTCTTTACGAATTAATTCATTCGCTTGTTCCTGTAGAATTTTTTCTTTCGCCACTAGATCAACATCCTTTTCATGAATAAGAGAATTTTTTGCCATAATTTCTTGATTTAAAATTTCCTTTTCATTTTTCACATCAATTAATTCTTGTTCCATATTTTTAACACGTGATTCCAATTCTTCGCAGAGTGCTGATTTTTTTTTTAAATTTGCCACCAATTTTTTCATTTTCTCCAATTGTTTTTGTGATTTTTCACCCGATTCAATGAGTTGTTGCTCGAGATCAATGATTTTTGTCTCGAGCGTCTGTTTTATTTCATCGCTAACATTTTGTTTAGCCAAATTTTGTGATTCTTTTAATTCAACTTTTAAATTCTCCGTCTCCTGTACTTTGTTTTGTAGATCCTCAATTATTTCCTCAAGTCTTTTATTTTGCATATTCATATCGTCGACGTGTTTCAATTTTAATTGCTCCAGATTTTGATAGGCTTGATTCAATTCTAGTTTAAGATCCTCAGCATATTTACCATTGGAATCTAATAAATTCTGAAGATAATTGATTTGTTTTTCACTCTCGGCTTTTTGGAATTCTGCATCGATTTTAAGATCATCTGTTACTTTCCAATTGGTTTCAATTTGTGCCTCAAGATTTTTGATTTTTTCCTCCTGAATCTCGATATTTGTTTCATAACTCTTATCCTTTTCACTGAATTCCTCCTTTGACAACTGAAGTTGAGATTTCAATTCCTCAATATGCTTTTTAGCGGAAGTGATTTCCCATTTACGGGAAACTTTAAGATCATTAACTTCTTCGGTTAGGGAAACAATTATAGAATCCTTTTGTTGAAGATCGGATTTTCTTTGCTCGAGTTCATCTTGTAGGGAATCAATGGTGATCATTTCATTCTGTAGCTGTGCGTACTTATCAGTGAGATCTTTCTCTTTATTTTTAATCTTCTCCTTCAATTGTGCAATCTCCTTATCCTTCTCCTCGAGTATTTTACCCTCTTCTTGTAATTTTGCCTCAAAAATACCAATCGTTGTATTTAATTCCTCCTTTAGGGATTTTAATACCTCTTCCTTTTGCTCGGCTTCTTGATGTAAACGTCTATTTTCCTGTTGAAGATCCTCAAGACCCTGTTCAATCAATATTTTACCATTTTCCAAATCGTTCATCTTTATTTCCATATCCTCGCATCTACATTTCCATTCATCGATAACTTTTATTGAATCTTCAAGTTCTTTACGCAATATTTCAGTATCTTGACCTTTTGCTTCGTATTTTTCAATTTCAACAATTTTTCTCTCCAATTCCTCTTCTTTATTAACCAATTTCTCTTTCATTTCATCCATCATTTCTTTTTGCTCCTCAATTAATTTTCTACATGATTCTATTTCATTCTCCAATGTTTCAATTGTGACAATTTGTGATTCTTTAAATTTCTCCAATTTTTCACTTTCTTTTAGATTTTCAATTTCTCCCAAAAGTTCATTGCGTTCTTTTTCTAATTTTTCAATACGTACATTATCATTTGTATTTTCCAATTTTTCTTCTAATTTCGTTAATTTTATAATAAGATTATTATTCTCACGTATCAACATTTCCATTTTAATTCCACTATCACTATGTTCGGGAATTTTTTCAAACGATTCCGTTGAACCAGTATCGGATGATCCTTTTTCTTCAATTTTACTTAATTTCATAATCAATTCATTATTCTCACGTGTCAATGCATCAATTCTTTTGACTAATTCTGTTTTATCATTAACATTTATTGTCTCAAATAATTCAGTTGATTCAATATTAATTTCCATTTTCTCCTCTTCGAGTGTTGATAATTTTTTTAATAATTCCGTATTTCTTTGTGATATCTCATCAATTTTTTTCAATAATTCACTACGATCAGTTTCTTGTAATGTTTCAAATGATTCAGTTGAACCTGAAGAATCAGATGTTCCTTTTGTTGTTAATTTTTGTTGTAATTCTTCATTTTCTTTAGTTAGTACCTGAATTTTTTGTTGTAATTCACACAATTGTTTCCCCTCTTTTTGTTGTTGTATTTTATTATTTACCTCGAGTTGTTCCTCTAAATCGACAACTTTCATTTCAGCTGTTACACGTAAATTTTCTGATTCTGCATTTTCTTCCTCCAATGCCGATATCTCTTGTTTAACTGAATGAAGTTCTGTAAATTTTTTTTTTTAAAAACAAAATTTTCAAACAATTTTCACAATAAAATTTGTGAAATATTGGGAAATAAAATTCAAGCTAATAAAAGCAATTTTAAAAAATGAAATTAATTTATCAAAATTACTAAAAAATTCTGATTTTGTAAAATTATAAAAATAGTATTTTTTTGGCAAAAAAAAAAGGGGGTGGGGGTTTGTCAAAGCATTAAGGAAAAATTACCTTGCATAAGATCTAGCTTCTGATTTTCTAAAGCAGCAATCGCATCGATGTGACCTTGAATTTCTTTCGTTTGAGCATTGACCTTACCTTCGAGGTCAGAAATTTGTTCTTTCCAATCTCCTGCGGATGCTGTAGAAATCGCATAATTTCCGAATATTTGCATTTTTTTAAAAAAATTGTTTTTACTTGTTTTTTAATTTTTTTTTTTTTTTTTTTTTAATTCAAAAAATTCAAACCAAAAAGAAAAAACTAAAAAAAAGCTAAATTCACGGACAATTGACAACAATCCCAATGGAAAGCAAAGCAACGTCACTTATTCAAAAAGCAGTCGCTTATTATTTTCGAAAAAGCAATTTTATTATTTATTTCGAATTACGATACTATTAGTGTTATTATTTTTATCACATTTCTATTATTGTTACTATTTTTTTTTTTAATATTATTATTGTAAATTAACCATTTTTAAAGGCAATCAAATTTACACAAAATGTCAACGGTTATTTTTTTTTTTAGTTAATATTCAAAATATATTAATAACTAGCGTTCAAAATTAATTTAAAAATATGTACAATATTTTTTTTTCCGAAAAATTCTAAATTAGCGTTTTTTTTTTTGTCTTTTTCTCTCTCGATTAAAAAAAAAGGAAAAAAAAAGGTTCGAATAGAACATTCTCTATATTTTATTTTGAATAAATAAGATAAAAAAAATTAATTTTATTTCGAACACAAATTTCCAAATTTAGAAAGTAAATTAATTTTTTTTTTCGGAATCAAATTTTCCTTTTAATCAACAATAAAAATTAATTATAGAAAATATATTTTTGCAACAAATTTAAAATTCAATAAATTTGATTTAAAAAGGTATTTGTAATGATTAATTTTATAAATGAATTTTTAAAAAAATTATTGAATTAAAGTTTGTTAAAATTTCAAAGAAAAAAGTTTTACAATTCAGATCATTATACAAAAAAAATTTAGTTATTAATTTTTGCTAATTAAATTATTTTTAAATTCAATTATAAGAATTCATTTTTAATTATTTTTTAATCGAATTATAAATTCTAAATTGTTCGAGACTAGATTAAATTAAATTTTTCTTGAATAAAATATTTTCTAAATAGTTGTTAATTATTATTATTATTTAACAGTTTTTTAGAATACTTATCAATATAAAAAATAATTTTTTTTTTCGTTCAAAACAAAATTTAAAGAATGTTCTCAAAACAAAAAAAAAAACAAAACAAAAAATGAAATTCCATGCAAAAATAAAATTCAAAACTACAAACTATGCAATCCTATCACTAAAAATCAGAGTTGAGCAAACTTTGACAAGTAAGAAAGTAGGTACCATGTTATGCCTAGGCAATAAAAAAAAAATTCAAATTAAAAATTCGATTAGTGAAATCTAAAAATAATCTCAAATTTAAAAAATAAAGAAATAAATAAACATTCAAGAAAAAAAAAATTAATCGAACGCTATTAAAAATCGTACCGTAGGGAGGGGGAAAAAGGAGATCCATCACCAATTTAGAAAAAAAAAAAATAATAATAAACAACTTTTATGAAAAATGTTATGAAAAAAAAAAAAACCCCGTTCATGTTAATTTTTTTACGCGTGAAATTGAAACGCATTTGAATATAATAATAATTTTTTTTGTCATTGTTTAGAAATTATTCAAAAATATAATCGAGAGAAATATTTTAGCAAAAAAATATATTAAGGAATTTGTAATTTTTTTCTAAAAAAAAAAAAATTGTTACATTAATTATTTATTTAGCTGAAATTTATATTTTTCTTAAATGAAAAAAATATTATTTATTTATTTAGAAAAATATGAAAAATTTCCAAATAAATGAGAATTAAAATTAGAGTTTCTATTTTGAAGGAATTTTTCCCATATTCTTATAAATAATTATCATTTTTTGTCAGAATTTTTTTTTTAATTTTAATTAAAATTTCGAAAAAAATATTCAAATGCGTCTCTTTAATAAATTTTTTTTAAAGTGCAAAAATTATTACACAATTCAAATATTTACAACCTAATATAAATATAAGTTTCAATTTTCCTCGTTAAATTATTCAAAAAAAAAAATTTTTTTTTTTTGTTTAATTTTGCCAATAAGCAAATATTGAGAAATAGTTTTTTTTTTCCTTTAAAATGAATTTTTACAAAAATATGAATTGAAAAAAAAAATGGAAAAAAACCCCCAATGGAATAAAACTGAATAAATGAATTGATAAAGAAATTAATTAAATGCGAATAAGAACGAATAAAAGAAAAAGAAAAAAATGGCATATAGGTAAAAGACGATGGATAATGACGGCACGAGAAAAAATCCGTCCTATGGCTCCTACCTTTAAGCTCGTCAAAGTCTACCAGACTCAGCTGAAGGTTACCTTTCTCCTCCTCAAGAACTGCCACCTGGTTTCCAAGTCTCACCAATTCTGCGTTTACGTCTGATACCTGTGATAATTTATTAATATTAATAATTAATTAATTAATTAATTAGTTGACTTAATAATTAATTAATCAGATAAATAATTAATTGTTTATTAATTAAGTAGATAATTAATTAATTGATATTAATTAAGTGAATAATTATTTAATTATAAATTAATTAATTAAATAATTATTTAACTATTATTTAATTAAGTAAACAATTATTTTAACAAGATAATTATTTAATTATTAATTAACTAAATAATTATTCAACTATTATTTAATTAAGAAACTAAATAATTAACTAATTAATTAAATATTATTTATTTATTTGTAGTTAAATAACTAATTATTTATTTACACTTCAAAAATTCTTAAAGTTCCGTTTTTTAAAATTTGTTCAAGTTTCATTTAAAAAATTTATTCCAAACTTCGAATTTAAAATTTTTGCATTATTTTTAGTTTTAACGGACAAAAAAAATTTCAAACAATTATTAAGTTTTACAAATTTTTAAATAAAATTTTTTTTTTTTAAATAATTAAAATGCAGAAGATTTTAAATTTGAAATAAATTTTCTACAACTTAAAAATTTTTTTTTCTTTTAATTTCTGATAATTCAATTTTAATTTTTTTTTAAACTTTTCTCAAATAATTAAATTCTTAAAGAACTATTAAAATTATTAAAAATAATTGAATTTTTTAAAAAAAGTTACAATTGAAATTTTTAGAAATAATTGAATTTTAAAAGATTTTGTTAAATTTCAGACACAATATTAAATTTTACAGAATTAAAAATAATTTATCGAATAATTTTAGATAACCATTTTCAAAAAATAATTGAATTTTCGTAGATTTAAAGTTTAGATTTTTTGAAAATAATTGAACTTTAAGTGAGTTTTTATTTAAATTTTTTCTAATTTTTGTTGATAAAGAATTTATTAGAAAATAACAGAAAAAAAAAATTGAACTCTAAAATTGTTGCATTTTTTTTTAGTTTTAACGGTCAAAAAAAATTTTCTAACAATTATTAAGTTTTACAAATTTTTAAATAATTTTTTTTTTTAAATAATTAAAATACAGAAGATTTTAAATTTGAAATAAATTTTCTACAATTTTAAAGTTTTTTTTTCTTTTAATTTCTGATAATTCAATTTTAATTTTTTTTTAAACTTTTCTCAAATAATTAAATTCTTAAAGAACTATTAAAATTATTAAAAATAATTGAATTTTAAAAAAAGTTACAATTGAAATTTTTAGAAATAATTGAATTTTAAAAGATTTTGTTAAATTTCAGACAATAATTAAATTTTACAGAATTAAAAATAATTTATCGAATAATTTTAGATAACCATTTTCAAAAAATAAATGAATTTTCGAAGATTTAAAATTTAGATTTTTTGAAAATAATTAAACTTTAAGTGAGTTTTTATTAAAATTTTTTCTAATTTTTGTTGATAAAGAATTTATAAAAAAAATAACAGAAAAAAAATTGAACTCTAAAATTTTTAATTGAAAAATATTTTCAAATAATTGAATTTTCGAAATATATTATAAAAATAATTTAATTTCGGAAGAGTTACAATTGAAGTTACTAAATTTCAAAAAGTTTCAGAAAATTTTAGAAATAATTAAATTTTAGAAAGTTTCAAATTGAAATTTTTAAAAATTGAACTTTAAGTAAATTTTTAAAAAAATTTTTGTTGATTTCTGTCGATAAAAAATTTATTAGAAATTACTAAAAAAAAAAAATTGAACTCTAAAATTTTTAAAAAATTGAAAAATATTTTCAAATAATCAAATTTTCAAAGAATATTATAAAAATATTTTAATTTCCAAAAAATTATAATTGCAATTATTAAATTTCAGAAAGATTTAGAAAATTTTTGAAATAATTAAATTTTACAAAGTTTTAAATTATTGAATTTCATAAAATTTTAACTTGAAAAATAATTTATGAATTTATGAAGAATTTCATTAAAATTATTGAAAATAATTAATTTAGAAAAGAATTTTAGAAAATTTTGATTAAATAAAGAAAAAAATTCTTGTAATGTAGAAAAAGAAAATAATTCAAAAAAGTCTCATCTTATTAAAATTATTCGAAAAAAAATCGTATTTTCAAAAAAGGAACTTAGAAAAAATAAAAAAAAGAAAATTTTCAATTCTTACCTTTCGGAAGCTCTCTAATTGACGTTGAAGATTTTTCACCTTACTCTTGTGTTGCGCTTTCATTTTAATTAATCCCTTATTAATTTCTTCATTTTCTTTTGTTAATTTCAATAATTTTTCATCAGCCTTTTTACTCTCGGTTGGAATTTTCATAATAAGTTCATTTTTTTCACTCTCCAAATCTGTGACAATTTTTTCTAAATCAATAACTTTATTTGATATCTCATCATTTTTCAATAATAATTCATTCACTTGTTTTTCTAATTCAACTTTTGATTCCTCTTCCAATAATTGATTAGATTTCTTTAATTCCTCAATTAAACTTTCAAGTTCAGCAATTCTATTATCTTTCTCAACAATAATACCATTAGTTCCATTTGTCGATTGTAATTGAATAATTTTATTTTGCAATTCAACATTATCTTTTTGTAATTGAAATTTCTCATCTTGCAATTGTCGATTATTTTCATTGATTTTCTCAAATTTATATTTTAAATCATCAATTTCAGTTGATTGCAATGTTACACCAAGATTTGATTCCAATTTAAATATTATTTCCTTTGATTCCGCCAATTTAATTTCACGTTCCTCCAATTGTTGTAAAAGATGTTCAATTTTTGTTTTTAATGATGTTTCAACGAGAATAAAATTTTCTTGCATTGATTTCATTGCATCCTTAGTGTCGGCCAATGTATCCATTGTTGATCGTGAAAAATCATTAGTTGCCAATTCGGCAATTTTTTGATTATTCAATTGGTCCTGTAATCTGTAATTAATTTTAAGAAAAATTAAAAAATTTCTTGAAATAAAAGAAAATAAAATTAAAAAAATTTACCGATTGAGCGTTTCTTCTAATTCTATTGTTTTATCAGTTTTCTCTTGCAATTGTTCGAGAAGATTGTCATTTTTACTTCTCAATGATGTCTCTAATAGTATAAAATGTTCTTGCATTGTTCGCATCTCGTCTTTTGTATCCTCAAGTGTATCCAATGTTGTTTTTCCCTTTAGTGAAAGATCCGCAGACATTAATGTCACTGCTTTTGTTTTTGAATCAATAACCGAATCTTTTTCCCTTAAATTTTCACGTAGATCAATATTAATTGCCTCTAATTCAACAATTCGATTGCTAAGCTCGGCAATTTTATTATCCTTATCTTGTTGGAAGCTCATTTGAATTAATGGCGCTGCACCCTGTTAAAAAAAAAAGAAATTATTTTAATGGAAAATTATTAGGTATTTATAAATTTAATTAATTTTAAATAAAACCTGTGATAAAACGACGGGTGTTATTGGCAATTGTTGTTCTCGTTCATCGAGTTGTTGTCGAATTGCTTCAACTTTTTCCTCAACGGCACGTTTACTTTCAGTAATTTCACTTCTTCGTTGTTCAAATATTTTTTTATCCTCCGCCAATTTTCTTTGTAATAATGATGATTTTGCTTTTGGTGTTTTTGCCTGACTAATATCGTCCACATCATCATCATCGATTGTCTCCGAAAATAATGACGACGATACATCTGAAATAATTGATTTTGGCGTCGATTCACCCGATGTATTTTCATCTTTATTTTTTCTTTTCGATAATTTTGCTCTTGTTTTGAATTTCGTTAATTTCCTTGCGTACTCCTGTTTTAAAATTTTATTTTTAATTATTAAAACTAGCAATATTAAACGCGCGCAAGCGCGCCAAATTGAGTATTTAATTGTTTGTTATAAAGAAATTAAAGATTAATATTATCAATAATAATTTAAATTTATTAGAATATTATTACATATTAAATGATAATAATGAAAATTATTATTATATGTTATTAAATTATATATAAAATTGAATTATTTTCCAAATTTTCAATTTAAAATTCAATTATTTATCAAGTTTTCAATTTAAAATTAAATAAAATTCAAATATTACCCGAAATTTTAATTCAACATCAACTTAAATTAAATTATTATCCAAAATTTCAATTAAAATTCAATTATTTTCCAAAATTTCGAGTCAAAATTAATTATTATCAAAATTTTCAATCAACAATCAACTAAAATTAATTATTATCAAAATTTTCAATCAACTAAAATTAAATTATTTTCAAAATTTTCAATTTAAAATTCAATTATTTACCAAGTTTTCAATTTAAAATAAAATAAAATTCAATTATTTTTTAAAATTTTCTATTCAAAATTAATTATCGAAATTTTCAATTAAAAATGAACTTAAATTAAATTATTATCGAAAATTTCAATTAAAATTCAATTATTACCCGAAATTTTAATTCAACATCAACTTAAATTAAATTATTATCCAAAATATCAATTAAAATTCAATTATTTTCCAAAATTTCGAGTCAAAATTAATTATTATAAAAATTTTCAATCAGCAATCAACTAAAATTAATTATTTTCAAATTTTCAATCAACTAAGATTAAATTATTTTCAAAATTTTCAATTTAAAATTCAATTATTTACCAAGTTTTCAATTTAAAATAAAATAAAATTCAATTATTTTTTAAAATTTTTATTCAAAATTAATTATTGAAATTTTCAATTAAAAATGAACTTAAATTAAATTATTATCGAAAATTTCAATTAAAATTCAATTATTACCCGAAATTTTAATCCAAAATCAACTTAAATTAAATTATTATCCAAAATTTCAATTAAAATTTAATTATTTTCCAAAATTTCGAGTCAAAATTAATTATTATCAAAATTTTCAATCAGCAATCAACTAAAATTAATTATTTTCCAATTTTCAATCAACAATCAACTAAAATTAAATTATTTTCAAATTTTCAATTTAAAATTCAATTATTTACCAAGTTTTCAATTTAAAATAAAATAAAATTCAATTATTTTTTAAAATTTCTATTCAAAATTAATTATCGAAATTTTCAATTAAAAATGAACTTAAATTAAATTATTATCCAAAATTTCAATTAAAATTCAATTATTTTCCAAAATTTCGAGACAAAATTAATTATTATCAAAATTTTCAATCAGCAATCAACTAAAATTAATTACTTTTAAAATTTTCAATCAACAATCAACTAAAATTAAATTATTTTCAAATTTTCAATTTAAAATTCAATTATTTACCAAGTTTTCAATTTAAAATAAAATAAAATTCAATTATTTTTTAAAATTTCGATTCAAAATTAATTATCGAAACAATGCCAAAAAAAACATTGAAAAATTTTAACCAACACAAAATAATGTCAAACAATACATTTAAAAAAAAGCAAAAGACCTATAACAAATACTAACTTCAGGTGTGGACAGAATGTACGAAAGATATTCACGATTATTATATGTAATAATTATAATTCCTTTTTTTAATTTATTTGTTATTTTACTATTACTGTATTTTTTTTTAATTTCTAATTTTATTTATTATTTATTTTTAAAAAATAAAAAATACTTTTGTTTAAAAAATTGCAATAAATGAACAAACAGAATAGAAAAAAATGATGTAATCTGTAAATAAAAGTAAATTTTAAAAAATAAAAAAATTTTCTTGGGAAATTAAAAAAAGGAAATTAATTTTCGAAAAAAAAAAGAATAAAACCTGAATTTCCTCCTCCTTTTTCCGAAGACTCTGCTTATTGCGAAGCATAATATCCTTGAGTGATTCTAATTGACTTTTACTTTGTTCACAAGATTCCTTGAGATTAACACCAGGTTCATCCTCAGATGATTGTGATGGTGGTGGACCACCCTCCATTGGTCCTGGTGGTTCCTCTGATGTACTCCACATCGCGAACTGTATTAATAATATTAAAATTAAATACCACTTCATTATTTAAACTATAAAATTTTCTTTTTACAATTTTTCCCCATAAATCACCAAAAACTAATTTTTCTTTTTTTTTTTATTAATTTTTCCTTCAAATCAAATAATGTTTTGTGAAAAATTTTTTTTTTCCAATATGACTAGACCAAGTCTCACCCACTGCTCTCATTTTTTTTTTTTTTCGCGACTAATTGGATAGGCAAACGACTAGGGTAAACTAATTATGTTAGCAGAAGGAAAGAGAGAGATAAGAATATATTCAAACCCTTTGCCATGGTCGTTTGAAAATTACGTGACTTACAAGGGTATTTTCTGTCTCCCTCTCTTATTTTTTGCTTCCTTGATTAAATAACTCAATTATTGGGAATAATTTTTCAAATTAAAATTTTCTCAAAAATAACCCCCAAAAAAAAAAAATAAATAAATAAATAATTCGTAAATATCAATGTCGTTTAAATGAATTAGTCTCAAGGTTCTTTTTTTCTAGGTTAATATACAATTTAAGGGTCTTCTAAATATCGCAAAAAAATAATTAGTAAATAAATATCCAATTACGAAAGTGTAAAAAAACGAATTCGTTTCGAAAAAAAAGGGAAAGTTTCAACATAACCTCAAAAATGTTCAATTACGAAAAGTACGAAAATAAAGAAAACTTTCCTTCTCACGAGTTAAATTAATTTTTTTTTTTTCTAAATCAAATTTAATTCTTTAAAGAGAAAACAAAATTCCCTATTTTGATAATAAAATACACAAACGAATTGCAATAATGAAAATAAATATTTAGGGTTATGTCAACTAAAATTGTTATTTAATCACAATTTATCATATTAAAATGCGTGAAAAAAAGTTTCTGACACTGGAAATATTATTCTAAATATTGAAAATAATTATAAATACTACCCTTACTTACGTTTTATTTGTATTTTTTCCGATGTCAAGATGTTATTAACACGTCACTAGTTGACATAATTTTCCTACACGCACACAACAGAGATTATTATTAATGCAATAGAAAAAATAATACAATTGCCAAATATAGAGACTTTTTTTGAATTTTCATTTGTTAATTAATATCACATTAATAAAGAGTCTTCTTATCTATAGCGAATAATAAAAAAATCACTTATGATTAACAATATCGAAACCATTTTTCGATTTATTCGCCTCCACCGGAAACTGTTGGATTTAAATCACCACTGCGCATACGGCGCGACGCAGAACGTAATTTTCAAATATACAAAATTTTTTCTCTAAAACTGTTTTTTTTTTTAGAAATGTTTAAAGAAATATTTTCCGAATATTTTTAGAGTATTATTAGAATATTATTAGAATATTTTTTGGACTATTTTTACAATATTTTTACAATATTTGAAATATTTTTAGAATTGAATTTTTAAATATACAAATTTTTAAACAACTAACCTAACCTAACCTAAAATCCAACTTCCGTCTATTGGTATTTTGCAATAGAAACAAATACACAAAGAAATTAATCCGAAAAAAGATGACATTTTGAGGTTATGTCGAACCGGTGAATTCGTGAATTGAAAATAAAATCGCAATTGTAGAGTAAATTTGATAATTTTTTTTTTTTTGCATTATAATTAAAAAGGGAAAATCGAGAGTATTTTATAATAAATATATTTCTTAAATTAGAAATTCGCGCGCATGGGAAAAAAAAGGTTATTTTTACGATTGCAAAAGTTAGTCACTATTCGCGCACCATATATATACATAGATCAGGAAAGTTTATATATTCTCGCTCATATATATATAAAATTATGCTCTATATAGAGCAAGTTTCTAACCGAACAGAAGGAATTAGCAACGGCGCATTTGCCCGTCAGTGTTGAGCGTCTGCGTCTATCGAACGTTGTTATTCTCTGCACAAACGGCAAATGTCAAACGTTTTGACAACATTTCTCCATAGGAACTTGATATAATAAAAAAAAAAAAAACATACACATTAATTGAAATTAAAATAATCGGATTTTTTTTTCATCGAGATGGAGGAACAAACACAATGGAAAGGTATCAATTTTTCTATAATTCAATTTTTTTAAATAACAAAAAAAAATTTCTTTTTTGTTTTTTTTTGTTCCCTCCCGCGCGATCAATGTCTGTCAACAATGCGTTCATAAACCCTGACCTTTTCTTTATATATTATATCTATAATAGAATAATTAATTTTTCTTTAATTTGAATTATAGGAAAATTTTATCGCGATTTTGCTATTATTATTATTATTGTTATTATTTTTTTTTCTGCTATTGAATTTTTTTCATCGTAAAGAAAATTGGATTTATTTCAGATTTAGATATTAAATTATTGCAATTATTTTGGGGAAAAAAAATAAATGACGTTTCTTTTCGTTTGAGGGGATGAGTTTTTTTTTGCGATGGAAAAATCTATAAAAAGTTGATATATTGTTCATCAACATATAAGTAATGTGTGTTTTGCTTTTAAAAGTATCGTATCTATATATATATATATATATAGAGAGAGAGATGTTGATTCTTTGTAAAGATATATATATATATTTTTTTTAATATATGATTCATCTTCATATTAATTTTGTTGACATTCTCGAGTCTTTTTTTCTGTAAAATTTTTTTTTTCTATGCTTCGAGAGTATTATTTGCATTGTTAAATTATTATTCTTTTTTTTTTTATTCCATTTGTTTATTCGCATATAATTTATTTTACCAGGAAGAATTTGAGAAAAAATTCCATTGTATCGATGATTTTTGCAAATATGATTTATGGCAAAAAAAAAAAATTAATTAACATTATAAATTGATTGAGAAAAATTAATTAATTGAAGTAGCTTCAAATTTTCTATATTTTTTAATAATTTATTTATTTTTTTAATTAATTTATTATTTTCTTCAAAAATATTTCTTAAATTTTTCTTTTTGAAATTTTTAATTAATATTTATAGAGACTTTAATTAATGGTAATTTTAATTATTGGTGACTCTAATTTATTTATTTACAAAAATAATTTCCGTAAATCTAATACTAGTAATTTTTATCAATGGCAATTTTAATAAATTTTAATTTTAATTAATTGTAATTTCTGTTATTTGGTAATTTTAATTAACAGTATAATTTTAGTGCAAAGATTTTTTTTAAATAATTTAATAAATTTATAAATAAATAAATTAAAATTAAATGAATAAAAAATTAATAATAATAATAATAATAATGTTAATAATAATAATATTATTGGCCTGAAAATTTTTACTCGGAGGATTCGTAATCAGCGACCCCGAAAACCTCCGAGTAACAATTTTCAGGCCAATAATATTAGATTTTCATAAAGTCATGCGCCATATTGGATCCGCCATTTTGAATTTTGAAAAACTAACGTCGGATTCGTAATCAGCGACCCCGAAAACCCCCGAGTAACAATTTTCAGGCCAATAATATTAGATTTTCATAAAGTCATGCGCCATATTGGATCCGCCATTTTGAATTTTGAAAAACTAACGTCGGATTCGTAATCAGTGACCCCGAAAACCCCTCGAGTAACAATTTTCAGGCCAATAATATCAGATTTTCAAAAATTCATGCGCCATATTGGATCCGCCATTTTGAATTTTGAAAAACTAACGTCGGATTCTTAATCAGCGACCCCAAAAGAGTAACAATTTTCAAGCCAATTGCTCAAGATTTGGAAAATGTTTTTTGCATGTTTTTTTTAACATTCTTTTTGGAAAAAAACTATTAATTATTAATATTTAATAAATAATTTTTTTTTCAATAAAAAATTAATATTTAAAATATTTACTTATTTTTTTTATTGATTGTAATTTTTTTTTCAATACGTCTCCAAGATAGTAAAAAAGAAAGAAAATGTAAATAAACTTTTTATGTAGTACACAAAGAATCACACTTTTTTTTTATATTCCATAACGACTGCTTTTGCACTTTATGCGCACATCGACTTTATAATTTCTTTTCCTTGAAAATTGCATTTCTATATAGTATGTGTGTAAATTTTTTGTCATGCGTGCAATATTAAAAAAAAAAAAAAAAAGAAAAAAATAATAAGGCAAACAAATTGACTAATAGGAAAAATTTCCAATTTTCATAACAATACGGAAATCAATTTTGTTTTTTGGTTTTCTATTATTTTTTTTTTGTATTTTTTATAAATATAATTTTTATAAATAAAAAAAAAAATTATAAATATAAATTATATTAATATAAATTAAATGAATAAAATATAGAAATATAATAATATAAAATAATAATAATAATAATAATAATAATAATAATAATAATAATAATAATAATGATAATAATAAAATAATAATTAATAAAAAATAAATAAAATATAAATTAAATAAAATTATAAATATAAATTATATTAATATAAATTAAATGAATAAAATATAGAAATATAAAAATATAAAATAATAATAATAATAATAAAATAATAATTAATAAAAAATAAATAAAATATAAATATTTAGTCCTTTTTGATAATACTAAGTAACAATTGTGAACACGGATAATTTTTCGCATTTTTTACCATTATATTTTTCTATTTTATTTTCTCGTGAACAATAATATATACGTATTATTGTGTAATTTGTTTATTGAACGAAAATTTATTATCAAATATTGCAATAATAACAATAAAAAAAATATATATATTATTTATTATGAATGTTTATCTTGTTAATTTGCAGAAATAATTGTAAAAAATTGAATAAAGAATAAAACACGTTTAAGTAATTTTTTTATGCATAAGGAAAATTTTGATACTTTGTATATAAATTATATCTATATATATATATATATATATATATATGAGTGATAATATTAAGTATCATAAACGGAAAATAATTTTTTTTTTTTTTAAATTGCCGTAGAAAAATTTTTTAAATTTCTACAATAAAATTTCATTAATTAAATTAAATTAAATTATTTTTATTTTATCATTTATTCTTTTTTTTGTTTTCTCTTGTTTTATTATATTAATGATTTTGTTTCATTTATTTATATATTTTATTTATTTATTTGATAATTTGCAATTTTTGAAAATAATCTTATCTATTCACTGATGCTAAATATGTATGTTAACATTTTTTTTTTTTATTTTTTCGAGACGCAGAAAATTTAAATTACTATAATTTTCTTTTTTATACTGACAAAAAGAAACAAAAGTATATTATACTATACCAGTAAATAATAATTGAAACTATAATTTTTTTAAACTGTAATCTACAAAAATAATAATTATAAAATATTTGTTTACACAAATTATTAAATTAATTTTATTATTTTTATTAAATTTTTATTTTATCTAATTAATAATTGATTTATTAAATTATTATTAAATTTTTTTTTATTATTTTGACTATAATATTTTATTATTATTGAATTATATTTAATTTCATTATTATTATTATTATTATTATTATTATTATTATTATTATTATTAAGTTATTAAAAATTATTATTTTGAAAACGTTGTTATATGAATGATTTTATAATTTTATCAATAAAGGAAATTAGTTAACTAGAATTTAATTATCATTATTGTTGATTTTCTACGTTCAAATAGTATCGTATTTTTTATTTGTGTTGTAAATAAAAAATAAATACGCTTTAAAAAACCAAAAGAAGTAAACAAATAGAAAATTTACGCAGTTAATTTTTCTTTTTATTATTATTTGATGAAATCAATTTAGCGATCAATATTCAGTAAATTGATAAACTATTATTTATTTATTATTTAATAAAAATTTTATATTATTATTTTTAAAGATTAAAATATTTTTTTAAAATTTTAATTACTAATGAAAATTGCAGAAAATTTTACTAATTTTATTATCACTGAAAAAAAAATTTATTTAATTCAAATAATTGATTACTTTAGGTTATCAAATAAATATTTAATTCAAATAAAATTAAAATGTAAATTTTACCTTTATTTTTATAAATAAAAATTATTTAATATTTATTTAATAACAGTAAAGTAACCAATTATTTGAATCAAATAAAATTTTTTTTTCTATCAATATTTTTATCGTAAATAAATTAGTTATTAATTATTTTTATTCAACAATATTTAATAAATATATTTTTCAATTTTAATGTAGCAATTGAAAAAAAAATTCTCTAAGACATTTTTATATTTCAAAAAATATAAATATATAAAGAAAATGGAATTTTATCTCTCTGAATCTGAATAGAATTTTATAACAAGATTCTGAAAAGTATTGTAAAAGAAAATATTGATACAAGGAAATACATATATAGATATAGTTAGATATATGAGAAAATATGAGAATCACTCACAGGAATCTTGGGGGGAAATTAAAAAAAAAAAGAAAGAAAGAAAAAAGAAAAAAAAGAAAAGTTAGAATTTAAAGTTCCACACTAGTGTATGTATATATATATGAAACTCCTGCAAATCAAGGTAATGCAAGCTTGAAATTGAAAAATACAGCGAAAAATAGTGTAAATGAAAATAGATTACAAGAAATATTCACCTGAAATAAAAGATATAAATCCTTCTTTCATTTCTTTTGTTTTCAGTTATACGATCGAATACATATAAATAATATTCGTAATTTTAAACAAAAAATTTTTTTTCAATTTGAATTTTTTAAATATTAAATTAAAAAAAATTTTTTAATACTAAATTTTAAAAAATTAAATTAAAAAAAAATTTTCAATATTAAATTTTAAAAAATAAAATTAAAAAAAAATTTTTTTTAATATTAAATTTTAAAAAATTAAATTAAAAAAATATTATATTTTAAAAATAAATAAAATAGAAAAATAAAATGAAATAAAATAATAAAATAACATAAAATAAAATAAATAAATAATTAAATAAATAAAATAAAAATAAAATAAAGAAAACAAAATTAAATTTGAAATTTACGAGGGAAAAATTTAAATATTGAAAAAAAAATTAAAAAAAAAAAAAAAAACAAGTGTGGAACAATATAATGTACTGCGTTTATTATATGAAGTGTACTGGAAATTGGTAATTAAGAAAATTGACCG